CGTCATGAAGTTGGTACTGAAGCTTTCCTCGTGCAAGATTTTCAGCATTAACAATAGACATCTAATGGCTGTCGCGCACAAAACGCAATAATGTTTGCCGCGCGACGCAGTAACCAATAGGTGCATTCAGAACAACCGTTCACTGAACGCTTTCTCATTTGATTGGTCTATATTTTTAATTCTAACGGAATATGCCAATCAGATGCAAGCGCGGTTGTAGTACTGAATGCACCTAATAAGAGTTGCTTTCAAAATGAGATTATGAACTGTGATAACTTTTTACAAAAGTAAACAAATAGTGATATCATTAATCTGAGTATAAAATACTCAGCTCAAGACTTCAGAATCAATTTTATTTGTGTGTAAATGGAAAGCAACTAATGTTACCGCGTTGCATTTTGCTGCGCAGCAAGCGTTTCCGCGTCTAGTGTGCAAAAGTTACATTTAATACAAAAATTTTACAGCTTTAATTTTATGAAAATAAGATTAAAAACTTAAAAACGAAAGATTTATGTTGATCTGCAAATTAGATATATACAAGTGCTAAAAACGAATTAGAATGGTATAAACAAAGTAATAATCACGTCTAGCAGTAGATGCTTGAAATGGCGTTGCAATATGTTAAATAAGAACAGATGTATGCATTTGAGTCAGACAGAACAATAATATAAAAAATTAAAGCTGTCACTATTATCGACTTTTTTATTTGGAATTAAAAAAATGTTTAATTATCGACATCAAGTTCACTCCAGCATCCCCTTAATTAATGAAACAAAAAGGAATTGTTTTCGATATATTAAAATAAATCAGTTCTATCAATTGTGAATGTTCTTTTATTGCAACACCTATTTTGATTTTCATATATTTTGTAAGAATTTTTATTGTGTATTTTTTCTCGCTTCTGACATCATAATCAGAGAGTAATGAATAAACAGGAATTTTAAGGACAATACGCGTCGGGGATAACGATAATCCAAAGATACATAAAGTAGCCAGATGATAGGAATTAAAATAAACTTAGCAATCTGTATAATAAAGTATGAAAAAATAAAATTTTTAATTCCGAGAATTTCTATCTTATTTTTTACTACTATTCATATTTACTTTTGAATAAATACTATATTAGAAGATGAATGTAGAAAAATAATATTAATTATATAGATATAGTGTAAAACATATTATCTAATAAAGAGATTTGAGATTCTCTCGGAGTAGCGCTCCATAATTGTTAATTAGTTCAAAAGCTTTTTCTTTGACTGGTTCATAATTAACGCGCTCCTTTTCTTTAGCTATGAATTCCTCGATTTTTTTATTATCTTCTTTCAATTTTTCTAATTTATCATCTAGATTACTGATCTCCGGATAAATCGCATATTTCTCCATTCGCTCTTTAAGTTCGTTATATTCCATATGCAGTGACTTGAGCTCGTCCTCGTAGATTGACTCTTCGGACACCAGTCCTTCTCGTTCAGTAATTAATTCGTCCCGTTCGAGTTCATTTCGTGTTTTTAAGCCATCCAGATCCTCTAGGACAATTAATTCGCTCTGTTGTTTCTTCAGCTTCTCTTTCATCAACTTGGATTCTAGCTGCAGCTTCTCCTCTAAAATCCTTAGTCTGTTGAATGTTTGTTGCATAGTTGCATAATCTTTCTTTAGCTCTTCAAAGTCATCATCGCGATGCACGGTTTCGTAATCATTATATGAAAATTTATCACGTAAAATAGCTGTTTCTTCAGCTTCCGTGAGATACTCGTTGTTCTCTACAGCGTTCGCCATGGTCTCTAGCTTGTCAACAATCTCCTGCTCGAGTTTTTCCAGTTTCTCCATTTCCTCTTGTTTGTTCTGTTCATACGTGGACATAAACTCCTCCATCATCTCCTCACGCTTACGCAATTCCTGATATTTGGTTTGCTTCTCTGATTGATTATCCTCCATGTCAGTTTCCAGCTGTTCCAATTGTTGCTCGAGTTCTGCCACCTTTTTCTCCTTCTCAGCTATTTGCGCCTCTGTCGCAGCAATGTCGGTATTGTCACGCTTGATTTTCTGTAACAGTTGCTCTTTCTCATCTTCTGGTGATAATTTTTTGCGTTCTTCCTCCCGTAGCTTGTCCCGCTTTTCCTCTGCCTCGATAATTCTCACTTGCAGTTTCACCGCCTCTTGCTTTAATGGAGAGAGAGCGATCTGTTCCTCCAAACGCGCTTGCTCTTTTGATAGTTGGTCCAATTCGCGCTGCATTTGCTGTGCTTGTTCCTGCAATTCTGTTTTCTGTCGGAATAGATTATCGTATTTTTCTTTTGTAGGTAGATCCATACTCTCAATGATATGTTCGGTCCTTTTTCTCTCATTCTCGATATCCTTTTCTGTCATATGCAGTTTTTGTTCCATCTGCTTCCGTTGCTCGAACATTCGCTCAACTTCTGCCGTCCTATGTTCATTCATCAGCGCCAGTTCTTTAGCCTCCTCTTCGATCACCTCTTTGCTCACATCCAGAGTCATTTTATCCACAACAAGATTATAATCCGCTAATTCAGCCTGTAGATTCGTCAACTCTGCGGCAAGGCTCTTGGCTCTCTTATCATAATGCAAGAAAGTAGCTTTTTCCTTGTTCTGCACTTCAATGTCCTTCATTATTGTTCCGATTTCTTGCATCAGTTCTCTTATTTTCAGCTGCAGTAGACCCTCATAGTATCTCTTGTCTTGAATCTGCCTGAAAATTTGAAAAATTACTTGAAAAATTAATAAAATATATACAAATATACTAACAGCGAGATTACGTAACACCATTACCTCGTCATCGGCAGACCTCTGGTGGTACCCGGTCGTATGCCTGCTATTCCATGCTGAGTAATCGGTCTATCCAACACACTGACGTTGAACTGTTTAGCAGTTGTTAGTCCTGTGCCAGAACGACTCAATCCCGAGCCTATCCTGAATCCACCTGGACCCGCAGTTGGTGCACGATTCGACAAAAGAGATGCCGATGGTGGTCTCGCAAGAGCAAGGCGTCCTGGTGTTGCTGAACGATACGTAGCCGAATTGACATACTCCGATGATTCATCCTTATGTCCACGTCGAGACCTTGGTCGTTCGAACTTGTTTTGAGGTCTCACGAAACCCGTCGGCGGCCTATCGATTTTATTCGAGGTAATAGGCACATCCTCCTGGTTTTGTCGCCACCGAGTAACCAACTGTTCTCCGATTTTACCGGAATCGTTTTTTTCGGAATCCATTTCTCGAAAAAGAGATTCTCTCTTGGATTAGAACGTTAGACGTTAATCGCAAGTTAATTGTAAATTAAATGTTAAATAAGAGATGTCTGATCACTGAAAATACAGCTATTGACAACGCATCATCTACGTATAGTATATATTAATGACAGTAATGATAAATTATCACGATATGGGCAACAAACCACAACGAACACGACGAACCCAATGTTTTGTTCATTGTAGTCATAGAAACTGGTACGTATAGTTCATTGGATTTAGTAACGGCTTATAATTGTGTAGAATTATGCAAAACTGTATTGTGTTTTTACTAATAATAATGAATTCTTTTAGCAATTTAATTTTTATATAATCTATTTTGAAATAATATTCTTGGAACGAAAGAGGAAAAATTGATTTATACAAGTAAAAGAAAGATGATACGAGAAAGATAATATTTCTTTGTAAAGAATCTCGCTCATTATTTTGCACTCTTCGTAATTGATAAGTATACCTATATACTCATTGTATTCCATTTTGTAAATAATAACAGAACTATCAAAAATCATATAATTAATATGTAGGGTGTTTCTTAAATAGTAGACATTAATCATATAGCACTCATAGCAGACATTAATCATATATTCTTGATTAAAAATTGAATCAAAGTCCCCTACAATTTTTCCGCAATAATACGAACGAAATAATAATTTCTAAAGATTGCCGAATAAGCGATTGCTGAATCATATATAGTGCTATTCCTGACAAAAAACCGAATCGAAAAAGTCCTCTATCGTTTTGAAACTTTCTGAAAATTTGAAAAATTAATAAAATATGTACAAATGTACCAACAGCGAGAATTCGTAATAGTTAATGGTTAAGCAACCGGATATGCGCTCATATTTGGCAATATTTGTAAAAATTACAAAAAGATAAAAGATTTTTTGAGTCAAAACAACGGCAATTATGTAGAAAAAGAGTATAAGATGTGTACTTTGAAAAACAATAAAAATTTTCTGTAAATATATAGGAGAAAGTTATCTACATCGTACCTCTTAACATTTAAATAAAATTATAACAAAAATATCAAAGAAATCCAAATATTTCTGTACTTTCATCAAACTTTGATTCATTGGCAATAAAACAAAACAACATTTTTGGAAAAATAAACATGGAATTACTGTTTAAATTAAGATTTTGAAAAAGATTTTTAACTTTTGATAGTACGATTTAAAGACTGGATTATTAAATTATATTATTGAGTTCCCAAATCATATTTCTAATAAATAATCATCAATTTTTAGAAAAAAATCTAAATTTTTGTTGAATTCAACAAATAATTCTATAAATAATTTTTAGCAAGTTAAAAAGATTCAATACAAATATACTTTTTCTTATATATTTTTACAAATATCAAAATATAGTAATTACAAAATTATTATTCAATCTTAACATGTTATCTTAGATGTAATTTAAAGACTAGTGACAAGTATTATTCAATTACTCAATTTTAGTACATTATCTTAAATGTAGGTACTTACAACATAAAGACCAGCAACAAATATACACGCAAAAGCTGATCAAAAATCCATGAAATATATATGTGAATCTCTCTTTGTAGTAAGATTGAAACATTCTATATATTAAATATGATACAGAATATTAATTAAAGCAAGACCTTTGATTTGCTCACTGCTTTGGCTTATTTTTTCTTCTAATTGTTGATAATTACAATAAAAGCTCCGTCATTATTTTATTTTGAGTCAAAACGTTTTAAAGCTTTGTAATTAATCAAATAAATGATTTTCACACTTTTATATTGTTTTAACGTTTCATTTTTTCTAAAATATCTAACATTTTCTCAAATGAATTAAGTAATCGATGATGTAATTCTAAGTTTTCTTTATGACGCCTCTCAATAGCTTCTTCCGAAATCTTTCGTCCATTTCGAAGATCTTCCATATATTCTTCTATAGTAGACATTTGTCGAGATTTTTCTAAATAAAACAAATAATCATATAATGTTATTAATTAGTGTTATCCAGAATTTGAGATTGAAATAATTGAATAAATTTATATGTAATGAGCTTGGTGTGTTAAACAAGTTGATAGAGAACTATTGAGAACGGAAGGATTTCTTTCAATTTATATTTTTTATAAGCTGTCAGCATCAAAGCTCCTCAGCATTAGAAATGAACTCTATCATATTTTATTCTATAAGATTTATTATCATATTTTATTCTACAATATTTTTAGAAAACTATAAAATATGCATCTGACTTTTCAGAATAATATCTATACAAATTTATTGTAATTTTACTATACAAAATGAAATTGTTACTAATATAATATTTAAGTAAGACATTCCATCGATAAAATAAGAAATAAAGTTTATAAGATTCTATTGTTTTTTTTTTTTTATAAATTGGACAAGTTAGAATGTATATATGAAAAATACGAATGAAATTTGCGGAAGAAGGTACAAACGAGGTATAGAAAAGGTACGAAAACGGTGCGAAGAGATGCAAAAGTGCAAAAGTGATACAAAAGTTGTACAGAAAAAGTGCGAAAGTATTGCAGAAGTGACAAAAAAGACATAGAAGAGGCATGGATGAAGAAGTGTGGAAGAGTGCGAAAGAGATGAAAATGATGTGGAAGAGGTAGAAGAAATGCTGGAGAGGTGCACGAGTGGTACGGAAAAAAATGTTTTCGACAGCATATAGTAAATTCACCATAAAAATTTATACGAGGAATTGAATAATACTTGAATGCCACATTGTCTAAACAAGCATATGATTATAGCTTAGGGTTAGCGTGTTAGGATATCACTCTATAGGTCTTAGGTTCAAATCCTGTTGATATTCTATATGCATTTTCAAAAAATGTATATTCCTGTTTACAAAGTCCAATAGAATCAGATAAGAAAAAGCTCTATCCGAATGAATCATGTTTTTGGTTGTAAATTTCAGATTACTCATCTGAAATATTTGATAGATTTTCTGTACATTTTCGTTTTTATCATATGGCTTAGATATGTTTTTAATTAATTTCTATTTGGTAAAAATTGATTAAAGAATGATAAAAATGTATCAAAAATATTTTAGATAAATAATCTGAAATTTATGAATCTAAAACACGATTTAATCTCATAGAGTTTTTCCCCTATCCGATTCCATCGGTTTTTAAGCAAGGATTCATGCCTATTACCTTAATTGCTGTTTCTCTTGTCCCTGTCGTCTAATGTAACATACTACGAACAGATAACTACGAAGTGAAAAATAGGAAAGGAAATAGGCATGAACTTACTATGAACCAGCGTTTTGTCTTCGAAAGTACCTAGACTAGATGTACTGCATTCAGAATGTGCTTTACGTTTTTTTTCAATCGATGATACTGTTATTAGTGGTGATGTACATGATTTTGAATGAAGTAATTCATCCATATTCTAAAAAAAAGATTCATTTAAGTTATGTTTTTTGTAGGAATATTAAAAAATAATTATAAACTTTTCTAATAATCCAATTATTGATTGATAACTATCATCATAGATTCAGATACAAAGTTAAAAAATTTCTTTTCATCTTAATGTTTTTAGATAGCTATTAGACTGTATTGAATATTAACTTACAGAAAAATATGGCCATACTGTAGATCTAGGTTTTTTATTGCTTTCTTTAATACCATTATAAGTTCGTTTCAAACCAGTAAACTTAGACAAACATTGCAATCCAGTTACATTATATCCATGTTTTTTTATTTTATCTGCAATTAATGACCATATCTTCTTGTGTGACATCTTTCCATTGATAAAATCTTCTTGTCGTAAATTATATTCTTCGATCAATAAAAGAATCGCTTTATGAGGCCATTTAAAAACTATAAATACAAATTTTTGTTTAATTCAGACATTACACTTGTTATATAAAAAAATACCTATTGTTAAAAATACCTCCAACATTGTCACTATGGTCACTATGTAAAGACTCTGCATGATTTATTTCACTTATGCTGTTATCTAAATAAAAACAATCATAATCAGAAAATCCATATAAAATATTATCTTTATGCATCAAGTGTACTAAAAAAACTATTACTTAAAGAAATTACATTAAACTTATCCTATTTATTATATTTCACCTAGTTTAGTTTTGTAGTTATAAAAAAAAACACAAGAATTTAAAAATAAGAAAAAATAAAATTTAAAAACACAAAAATTAGAAAATATTCCCTTGAATCTATAAAGCGCATATTGCGCGTGATGGACCATTTTTTCTTTAACATTCAGTAAATAATAAGGTGAAATAATACATCACGCGCATCATGCATAATCGTGCGCTCTTCGGTCATCATTAACCGATAATTCTGGAAAATGACAACAATGATAACCTTAAATATTTTGCAATAATTCCGAAAAAAACACTAAAAAATGAATAAATTTACCTGCTCCTAAACATTTTGCTTCTTCTTCAGTCAATAAAATAGTATAAATTTCATCGTTTTCTATATTTTTAAGAAAAATAGTTTTTTTCATTTCGTCAGAATCCATATTTTCAGCTGCTTTTATGTTTTCATATGCTTTTACACGTTCCTATGGATACAGTCAACGCGATACTTTGAAGCGTTTTTTAATTGGTCAGTTTGTAAAATTCTTTCTTTTAATTGGTGCATCAAATAGTCTTCAAAGCATTTGTAGCGAGACTTTGACTACAGTCTTTGAATTCTTTGAAACGTAAGCGCTCACGCTTCAGCAGGGTTACCAACTTTTGAAGAAAATTTTCCTACACGAGCATGTTGGGTATCAATCCTGAAACTTTATTCCTAGGATGGAAAGTGAAAAGTGAAAATTTTAACCATTTTGAAGATAATGGAGAAATTTTTTACTTTTTATTTTTTATCCTAGAAAAAAAGTTTCGTGATTGATACCCTCAAATCCTATCAAAATCTACTAAATAGTTCTGCGAGTAGCATTCAAATTATAGCGTTTCGACCATACAAACAACATGGAAAATGCTACAGTTTATGTAACGCATACTATAGTATTTCCTAACGCTATACTATAGTTTTTCGTATGCGATACTTTTCAAGAATAGAGGCCCCGATTTGCTTCCATTTGGGTTGGACAATGTTCTACTATTGGTTGATGTTACATATTCCACTAATAGGAGAACATACAATGTCATTAATCGAACTTAGATTGGTACAAACCCGCTCGGGTCGAATACGCTATAGAACTCTAGTCTAATCCAAAATCCTGCTCGATAAGCAATGACAACTGACAGCGTGCCATCCATTTTTTCTATCAGTGAGTTGGCAAGACTGCGTGGGAATGACTCACCTTTCTTATTCTACAATTCACCATGCCCGTGACGCGGCCGTCTCCTACTCTCCTCCTCCCCTCCTCGTCCCGTTTGTTTACGCACGAGATCGCGTCGTGTCGCGTGCGTGCGTGCGTGTTGCGACTTGCGACTCTACGGTGATTGCTCGTGCAATACCGTCAATACCGTGCCGTATCGCGTCATAACGTATCGCGATAACGGCATGCCCAGCAAGAAGAAAAAATACAACGCTCGTTTTCCAGCGGTAAGCGAATCCTCTCCGTTTTATCCTCCCCATTCCGTCCGGTCCCATTCCGTTACGGAACGCGCGTCGATGACGCGAAGAAACGGGAAGAGAAAGAGAGTGAACGTGGATTCCGAATCTGGAGTCTGCTCGTCGTCTCGACTCGCGTCTCCGATGCCTATTACCGCAATGGAAAAACGTGCTTTGCTTTTTTATGAATGTCGCGATCCGCTAATCAGACATATATCAGCGACATAACCTAAATCCCGCATGTTTGTTGTCAGGGTCGTATCAAGAAGATCATGCAGACAGATGAGGAGGTTGGAAAGGTCGCTCAGGCGGTGCCAATCATAATCTATATCCTTTTCCTATAACTTTCTCTCTCTCTCTCTCTCTCTCTCTCTCTTTGTGTATTTTGTACCTTGGCTGTGACAGTGTTTGTATCCATATGTCAAAGCCATCAAAGGTAATGCTATATAACATTGTATGATATAATGGGTAAAACAGAAATATCAAAAAGAGACAATTAGTTGACAGAGTGGTTGCTAGAAAAGGAAAAAAAAGAGGTCTTTTATCTCGACAGATTTTGAATTTTAGCAATATCCTGAAGCATTCTGATATTTTTCTCATATCGTCGTCAGTTTTCAAAAGTGGGATTAGATTTGCTTAAGTGACAAGAAGACTAGAAAGAGAATTATGTTAACTAAAACATGTGTAAGATGTAATAAAATACATTGTTGACAGAAGGAAATCAGAGAACCTGAAGGTTTTGAAATGAAAAGCCATTAGTGATATAATAAACATTATTAGGCTGGCCTAACCGCAAAATGTATGGGCCAAACACAGAAATATCACAGAAAAGCTGTTGTGGCTTAGTTGCAGAATAATTCTCCAAGAAACTCAAGAAAGGCCTAGATTGGAGTACCCTGACTTAAAGAATACTTTGATTTCTTGTATTGTCTATAATATTCTTTATGTTTGAGGGTATTTTGTTTTGGAGGATATATTGTTTAATAAATAACAGTTCATTTATTTTCTTTCTCTCATAAGCATGAATTTTCATAGATTTGAGATAACAATAGAGAATATATTAGCTTTATTTACCATGTTTGTCAGAGTTGGATTATTCCTTAATGGAGCTTACCTAGGACTTTAGAACTATTTGTGCACTCCTTATTAACCAAGACCATGCAGATCACGAGTGCCAAAAACGCCAAGACTCTAAGTCCGTCTCATATGTGAGTAAACAGCAACATTGTTGTCCAGACCTGTCAAAGTTTGTCCTATCGCTCATTTACTGCAGTAATAACTCAACAATTATTTTTTAATTATTTGCAAAGGAAAGAAAACTTTTATTTTTCTACAATCAATTATTATAACAAAATTACATTTAAAAATAATATAAATTTTAATGAATTCAAACTCACTGTTTTGGAAAACTTTTTATCGATCGATTTTCATTTATTTTTTTAAGTTTTTGTTATTGTAGAAAATGGATGTTATATTCATGATGCTGTATTTCTAAAATATTGTTCACAATGCATACAATACAATGAATGTTTCTCTATTGTATTCATAGTCAGGCCCTATATTTAAGACTTCCTTAAGTTTATCTTCAGATGCTCTAAGAATTACTTTATTGGCTATTGAGCATCTTTAAGGAAACCTTAAGTATAAAGTCTGACTATGAATACGGATAATGTGTCTGTATTCTTTTACGAATAATATGTATATCTCTTGGATCCGTATTCATAGTCGTAGATCGATCCACGATTGATCCTCATTTCAGTAGGGGTTTATTCTGTAACTTTTTAACAACAATTTTACTAGGCTAGAGATGTTGTTGCACAGGTATTTTACATGGTGAAAAAGCTGCGCAACGATAATATAATGATACCGAACTGCCGTTAAAAGTTACAGAGTAGGCCCACAGGCAAGTTTGAGCCAAAGTTTGAACCAATCAGATTTATTAAAATGTGATTAGAGAAGCATTTTTCAAATGAAAGTCTGAAATCTAGTTCAAATTGGATGTCAGTTGAATCACGACTATGAATACGACCCTTGGTGAGCTGATGAAAAAACTATTTTAATCACAAATAACTTGGATAAGTAAAAGAATTTTGCATAGCATCTGCTGTAGCTTATTGTTTGTAGGAAACAGTGTATCCTATCGGAAAGCCGATTCGACTTTCTTAAAGATCTAGTGAAATCTCTACCTGATATATCGGGACCTGATGACGAAGTACCTATGTCACCAGAAACATCGCAAAGCAATACGCCAAATACAGCCACTGCGTGTTCGACGATGATGCAGCATTTCGATCCATTAGAGTGAGTCTCTGTGTTTGATTTGCCCGTATAAGAATTTTTTCAACAGTCAAGATTCGTATTTCTCTAGATATCAAAAGTATCTGGGATTACCAGTTAGCACCGAAATGAATGTAAACCACAAGAGCACAAGAGATAACGGATCGAGCATAATTCCAAGCAATTTGAATCCCGCTAATCAAAGGGCCGCGACGACAGTGGGTGGGCACTCGCAAATTCCGGAATTCCACATGTCTGTACCTACGGCCTTCCAAATTAGTCGACCAAATTTTTATACGGAGCTTAACCCGAGTGTGAGCGATCAGCCAACGTCAAACTTTGCTCGCACCGCCAATATTGACGAGGATTACGACACATAGTAATCCGTTCGCGAAATCTAGGATGTTAAAAAACTTGTCTTGTTGAACGTCTTGACGCACGAATTATGTATTGAAATACGGTAGAAAAACCGCGTATACACGCAGAAGTATCTTTCAATTGCTCACATCACTTGTAAATTAATATCGTTTAATGCTTTCAAATTGAAACAAATTGAGACAATTTCTTATTTGGTCACACATTTATTATAAATAGAATATCCTAGAGTTATAATTGGAATTATTTATCTCATTTTTTTTATCTATGTTTATCTATGTTAAGATTTAAATAAAAGGAGAAAACTGTCGCAAATAAATGTCCCTCATTAAATCATTGTTTACAGATATATATATTAGCTCTATAAAGCTAGCAGAGCCAAATCAGCAGGCTCAAATCGGACCTATCAGAATTTTTAGTACTCATTTTGTACTAAATTGTACCATTAATGATAATTTTGTACCATGTGTCATTTCGAAAAAAATTGTGACGCTGCTGACTTAATATTAAGCTGGCAGAAAAAATTGAAAATACAAAAAAATATATCAGAAATCAATACGATTGAATTTGTACTCCCAAAAACAATTCTATATTATGTATCATTTCCAAGAAAACAGTAACGCTGTTTTAATATTTAAGTTAGTAGGAAATAAAACAATAAAAAAACAACACAAAAATTAACACATGAATTTGTACTAATTTGTACATATCATTGAAAGTAAGTTAATATTTTATATGTTTTCTCCTTAAATGGCTATTAGTTTATACAATATTTATAATCTATGAAGCATCACGTCAAATCGAATACCTTTGAAACGTCATTTTATTTTTTTTTAAATTTGCTAATATATATATTTTACAAATAAAAATATGAGATGTGTTTCACGAAAAAAATGTGAGATTTTTTGTGAAGTTATTGACGCAAATTGCATAAATTTATAATAAACATCGTTTATGCGAACAAATTATTACATCATCGAAATCATTAGTCATATAAAAAAATAGTACCAAAAAATACAAAATTTTCCGAGATTAAAAGTCCGATTTTAAAAATCTTGACATAAAATGCCTTATTTGTAAGTATATATTAATAAAGGAAATTAACATTTTAAGGAAAAAACATGTAAAATATTAACTTATTTTCAATGGTACAAATTAATACAAATTCAATTGTGTTAATTTTTGCTCTTGTGTTTTTTTTTGTAGTCCTGCCAGCTTAAATCTTAAATTAGCAGCACCACAGTTTTTTTGGAAATGATACATAATATAGAATTGTTTTTGGCAATACAAAATAGTACAAATTCAATCGTATTGATTTCTGATATTATTTTTCCTTTTTCTTTTATTTTGAATTGGTCTTGCCAGCTTTAATATTAAGCTAGCATCGCTACGATTTTTTTCGAAATGGCACAAAATTATCATTAATGGTACAAATTAGTACAAAATAAGTACTAAAAATTCCGATAAGTCCAATTTGATTCTGCTGATTTGATGCTGCTAGTTTTATATAGCTATACGTTAGCTTTTTCCATGCCATTATAAAATTACGTAAAATATTTGATTATCACGTCAAATTTAGCGTTTCTAATAATTAAAGTAACATTTATTTATAAGTTGTATGTGTTTATAAGTTGTGTGTGTATGTATAATATAATATACAATATCTTTTTGCAACTATATTATTATTTCATGTCGATTTGTACTTTAAGATATCTATATTTATTTTATATATCTTACTTTTTTTTTCAAGATATATTTTCAATAATTCGATAGGTAATAAGTGAAAGACAGAGAATTATAACGCATATATCTGTCGATAGCTTTGTAAAATTGTCAAAATTATTAAGAGAATACACGATAAAAAATCGTGAGAAGTGGCACGAACTAAATCCCAGTTTAAATTTTACGCTCTGCTAAAACTAATTGTTTTATCAATTTTCCTTAAGTTGGTTTTGCCAACTCTCTTGAAGATCGATTATTCTACCTTTGAATAAACTACTTATAATCAGTGGTGTTTTTAAAGTTGCTAAAGATTCAGTGTAAAGATAAAGTTGAGAGGAGCATTATTAATTCAAGACAATTCATACAGCATAGATCTGTAATATTGCAACAAAAAATTCATAAATATTTACTACGCACCGGAGTCTACAGGAGCCCGCAGATCCTGAAGCTTACGAGGACTCGTCGGTGCGTCGCACCAGTTGCATCGATGTTAAGAACGCCCCTGCTTATTATTTATTTAATAAAAGAAATAAGGGAAGAAAGAGACCGAAAGCGAGAGAACAAGTAAGCTGAGATTTATCGAATGGTGAAACAACCCAATCTGAAATTGGTTCAATTTCATCAATTTTAAAAGAGCATGAAATTGGATTAATTTGCGCTAATTCTTAACGCATAACTTTTTAGCGATAAATACTCTCCTAAAAGATGATTTTTGAGAGATTTTCGGAAGACATGTATTTTCTAATTGTTGCTTAATCTCTGATCATTTTAGAAATATAGATAAATTCATACAAATAAATAGACATCATGTGCAATCCGAATTGAAATAACATTGTATATTTGCATAAGAATTTGTTTAAATGATATGTTGAAACTCGTTGTCAAAAGCTGGACTTAAACATTGTAGTATATATATATAAGTAAACATTTTATGTAATCTTAACTAAAATTGTGAAATCATTGTCTTTGATGAATTGTAATTATTTATGTGAACACAATCATGCTGTTAATCATAAAGCATGTTTACATGAAGAAACGTAACAAAAAACGAAAATTACGATGATTAATTTTTCAAGTGTATTTCAGTCGATACGTCATATAATTTCAACGTGATATATTTTTTATTTATAATCTTATTATATACGTTATCGTTTTCTTACATGTATTTTTTTACAATTTTGTAACTTCACAACATATGCGATGTTATATGTTGAAAAGAGTCGTAGAAGATTATTAAGAGAATGTTTGAAACGATATCTTTTATGCTTAATGAAACAAATAAACTAAATACGTGTTATGTATGCATGCTTACAAAATCATCAATTTTGATTCATATACGCGAAGATCAAGTATTATGTAAAACCGATTGATTATACAGTTGACAACATGTTCATTTACATTATTTTTCGAGTGTACCTTGTCTTTTTTTTCAGCTCGTTACATGTGAAATAAAGACTTTGTATTTAAATATTCTTTTATTGAAACGAAACTATAGTTGACCTGCGGACTCTGTGTATAAATCTCGTGCGTATCTTATATCTCATTGCAAGCAAAAAGTCTGGACTTCTTTTTTTAAGAATAAATTTAAAAAATAAATTCAACAGTTTATACATGTATTATTCTATACATATACAAAGTAGGCCATCGAAATAGATTAAATAACTCATACAAAAATGATGTTTCGAAAAAACGCAAAAATAGCTCGATTTTTATTGGGAGGACATTTAACGTATCCTTCTTTTATTTTTTCCTAAGCGGAGTGCCAATGCTTCAAAAAAATTCAAATGGGAAGAGGAGATCAATGATACAGCATTAGAAACGTCTTTCAATTCCCTATATTCTTACATTTTATTTTTTAAATTCGATCAATTCGAAAGAGATTTTAGGAGATAGAGGATGTTAAATCTAAAATAAACAAATCTTTATATCTTCAAACTTTTTTTTCACGTATCGAATCAGTCCATTAATCAATCGTAAAGGGTGTTTAAAAACATACCATCGTGTATAAGATGAATATTGACAATTGATATGTACCATCTTAAAATTTGAATTTTGCAGTATTGAGATAAGTTAATCGCTTTTTGCACAGTAATCTCATTTATTTATAATACTCGTTGTATATTTTAAAGATCGATCAATATAGTTTTGCATCCAACCGTTCAAATGGTATGGAATTGCTTTAGAAAGTAATTGGTATTCTCATGTAAATTTATGTCTGATTTACGCATACGAAGTAAAGTACTGATTTACTCATCAAGACTAAGAGATTAGTCGAAATATTCAAGATATATATACAGGGTGTCCGATAAGTTTTGACAAAGCGCTCGTATTTAGATAAAGCGGACTAAATTAAGTCGAAAAGTCCTCTACTATTTTACAATTTTCGTAACAGTGAACGAGATATTAATTTCTAAAAATTGACGAACAAGTGGAGTAAAATCAACTCATAAACAACTTTAAGATTTCATAATTTTTTATGAAATATCTTAGAGATATTTTTCAGCGAATTTTAAAGATATCTTAAAGTTATTTTACGTGTCAAATTTAGATATTCTGCTTATTATAGGTGACTAAAAAAAAAAAAAAATTGCGAAAATTGCAAAGTGATAGAGGATTTTTCGATTCAGTTTGGTCCATTCTATCTACACACGAGCACTTATCAAAACTTACCGAACATACTCTGTATATAAATATTTTATCGACTAACAGCACTAACTTCTATATATAGCATGGCAATATAGCTGGTTTTTTACTATTTTCATATTTATTTATTTGTTATTGGGATTTTGTGATTGCGAAAATAGTTCAAGACCGGTCTGTGAGAAAGATATAAGGTTTTGCGAGGATACGAATGATCCCAGATTTAAGATTTTCTGGTCCCCCGAGAAAAAGGTGAGTATCTTCGAAATTGAATGATAAATTTTATAATCTCTATAAATTTCATCTCGAATTTTTCATTCAGAAGTTATTTAGGTAAATAAGAGTATGAATATTAAGAAAGGGTATGAGCCAAAATAAACAAATTTAATGTACGTGATTAAGATACAAATAAAAATAAAATGACTACATTAAAATAAGAAACGTTGCAACTCCGATCGGGTCATTATCAATGTCATATATATATAAAACGATTGAATACAAATTATTTAGGTAACCCGGAACTTTTTTTCTTTATCATGGCATTTCTTTTGGCGGGCGTTGTAGGACAGAGTTTACCATTTTAATTGCGATTATACTGTACCGAATTATACTGTACAGAAATATTTCCGGTAAGATTGTCTAATTCTTGATTTCGGCGAGCGCCGAAAAATTTCTGACGTAGCTAATCATCACGATGCATTTTCACGACTATCACGTTTTAATGTTATCAATTGGTACCTGACGTAATTGTCGAGGATTCGGTGATATCGCGAAATATTACACACGCGCGACAAACGGGAACCTTTTCGCAAAAAGATGCATACAATAACGTCAGCGACTACCATAATCGCGCGTTGTTCTCCGGCCGCCACCTCCTCTACCCAATAATGGTATCGCCGCCGTGGCTTTCGGTGATTCGTGTCATTAATAAAAACAATTACGGCCTCGAAATACGTGAGCGACAAAACTGGATAAATGCGAGCCGGCGGGGGGTTGTAATTTACGAAAAACAGACACGGGATTCGTGCATGGAAGTAGATTTGCTAAAATTTATTGGTCTCAGTTCGCGCTATGATTCGAAACCGATAATTACCATTTCGGAAGGACGAAGAGGGTGGGAAATCCGGGATAAATAAAGGTGCGTGAGAAAATCGTGTAACCATTTAATTTAAAGGACCGTCCTCCTCGCATCGTACTTTTTACTTTCAATTTCTTAAATACATACGATATTTGTCGTCTCTTATATAAATTTACATTTCTTAGAAGAAAAACTTGATGAATTGTTTAGTCTCGATAATATGAAAATTCGTTTAACTGCTCGATATAATATTGTAAAAATTAGTGCATGGTGTGTTTATTTCGTTTAAATCTTAAACCCAGTAACGAGAAGTTGGATTAAGTAAAAGATATTGTTATACCGAGGTGCATACATTGCATACATCGCAATTTAATAAAAGTGACTGTCTTTCGAAGAAATGATTGCGCACTGGTGTTTTGTCTCGCTGCTATGTTATGGATTCGTCGTTCAAATAAATGGTCTATTTCGCACCCGCGGAATATTCTCTCCGAGAACCGAATCCAATCTATTGGTCGTAAGTAAAATGACCTAGAATTGTTTTTATAATAAAGTATATAAGTAACATGAGAATTTATTATGTCAAGTTTGAAATCATAAACGTATTACAAATTAAAACGGAAATTTTAATAACATTAGAACTCACACAAATTCTTAAAAAAACTTTCATCACTACTCTATTTACAATCATAAACTAATAAATTTAAATATTAAAATTTCAAACTTTTAATTGTCATTTTAATTTTAAGTATAATCAATAGTTAATTATCAATTAATTATCGAATTAAATATTATAACAATATAATATATTATAAGACTGTATATGTGTGATAACACGAACTATAGAAATCAAAGCCTTAAACGGTCTAGCTGAATCTTAAATGCTTGTATAATTCTTGTGTGAATTTATATACTACATATGTAGTCCCCAGAAATGACGCGCGAAATGATTTTTCGGTCTTGAAAACGCTAACTTAACGCTCTACTTAACTACCGCGATAATATCACGAGTTATATTGAAATTTTTGATGTTTATTCGCATCTTCGAAACGATCTTAATTATGTTGAATAATATTAAGACCTGTAAATAAGTAATTCTTATTGCGAAAAATATTACCTTGACTAGGAGAGTCGAATCCAGATTTCCAAAAATATTATCTTGCATTCCATACAAGATAATATTTTTCGAAATAAGAATTAGTTATTACAGATTTTACAAATACATACAAATAAAGATTATAATCTAAGCATAAATCAATTTATAATTCAAAGTACAATTATACTTAATTAATTATGGCCATTTTTACCAATGTAAATTAACTTTAATCTCGGTTCAACTCGGTTCTTCATCTTATTCTAACTTTAAAGACTCGAAAAAGATGAAAAGTAAAAATTAAACTGAGATTAAAAGTCAATCTATGTTGGTAGAAATGAACTCAAATTATTATAATACATAATATAACAATAAAGATATAATTATCTTTATTATTTACACAAATTTTTAGATAAGAATACCATTTTAATAGCCGACATCAAATAATGACGTATTTAATTTATTCAATATTTGTATATAATAATCAACCATAATATTATACATACGTTTCGATCCCCGATTTAGATTCTCTTTAGTATATTATTAGATATAATTTAAATTTAACGCATAGTCAGTATCGATCCTCAGTAATACTACTTTTAACGAAACGTTAACACAATCTTTACATGTAATCTCAGTAATTAGAATTAAGCATCGGTATACTTATACGTTAAATTTAAATTATGTTTATATACACAAAATTTAAATTTAAATTTAAATTATGTTTATATACACAAAGAGGATCTGAACCGGAGATCGAAACGTATGTAGTATTAAGATTGATTATTATATATATTGAATAAATTAGACACACACACACACACACACACACACACACACACACATCACTATCTGGTATTGGCTCTTAATGGCGTTCTTATTTATTGATTTCTTCATCAAAGCCTTTAGTTCCTTATTATTGTTTAATATACAATAAATATTAGAAATAATTAACTTTCAATTATACCTCAACAAATTATTTGTTGTTTAGGAAAATAAAGTAAAACAGAATGGTTACCCTTTTGAACTTCACCATGTAACAACTGATGACGGGTACATATTGGCTGTTCATCGGATACCTAATCGCTCGAATACAACTATTGAGAATAATCGAGTAGTATTGATCATGCACGGATTATTGGGATGTTCGATGGATTGGCTGATAACGGGTCCGAATCGATCACTCGGTATCAGATCAGTTTTCCTCCTTAGTGTTTTCCCCTCCTCTTTAGTTCATAGATTTTAATACATTGATTAAAGAATTACTCTTTATAATATCATCTATTAGCTTATCTCCTGGCTGACGATGGCTATGATGTGTGGCTCGGTAACTCCCGTGGAACCACCAATTCGAAGAACCACACGAATCTTTCCATAAGCAGCGCTAAATTCTGGGATTTCAGGTATCGCGAAACTTCGAAATGCCGTCCTATTTATGCGGTACCGTCTCCCACACTTTTTACGAACTAGAAAAATGCAAGAAATCCTAACTCGAACGTTAAAATCTGACATTTTCCTGGTGGAAAAATTTCGCTGAAATTATATCACACTTTTCAGCAAAATTTCAGCATTTTAGAAAAATCCTAGTTTAATTTCAGCAATATTTAGTTGAAAAATTCATTTTCAATAAAATTTCAAAAAAGTTTCAGTTCAATTTTAGCGATTTTAAATACATCTAGTTATATAAACTGCATGTTAATTATTGTTCGACTTGAAACACATAATCATCCGACTTGAAAAACATAATCATAAGTTGAAGCTGAAATAATGTCACCAATGAAATGGATAATCCAATGATGCTAATATATGAAGGTTGTTCGAAAAGTTTTGAGTCTCAACATGAAAATGGAATTACTCATCAAAAGTCAAAATCATTTTTGGTACTTTAATCGTATATGCTTTGAAAGTTGGACGCTGTTTACGAGGATTCTGCTCCATCGTATTGTTTTTCAAATGCAAGAACTTAATCACGGCACGATATTCGATTCTTTCCATTTTTACGAAAACACTGACATCGACTGGCACAAATGACTATCAAATAACAACTGCGTCCACAATGGCTACAATTTTCATAGGTATATTTCAAAGCATGTACGATTGTAGTATCAGAATAGTTTTAATAAGTAATGCCATCTTCATGTTTTGAGACTCCAAACTTTTCAAACGATCCTCATACATCAACACTGTGAAGAATTTATTGCAAAAAATATTACTCTATATCATGGTTTGAACCTAAAACTTCTGATTACTAGGACAACAATTCGATGCTTGTGATAATTTAATAATATTTAAAAGATACATGATTCGATCTCATCCTATGATATCGCTACGCGTGCTCTTAAGCCTATTCTACAATGCGCTCTTTGTTTTCTTACTTTTTACCTTTTGCTTTTTTCTCCTTTGCAACCGTTTTATAAACAATTGTATTTCTTGTTTCTTTCGAAGTTCGTTAATTTTTATGTCGACATAAAATATAAAGCCGGATAAGAAGCAAGAAAACAAGATATAAAAAATAATAAAAAGAAATAAGAAACAAAAAACACATTGTAGAATAGGCTTTTTAGAGCCGAGTAAAATTGTAAAATGGGTTTTGAGTTTAAGTTTTAGGATCTATCCAGATAAACTTGCATAAACGTAACCATAAAGTTATATAGGGATTAACAAAAAAAAAAAAGCATAAAACCCACAGCACAAAATATTCTTTGTGATATTTAATATATAATTACGTTTATAAATAATTTAGACGTTTCGACCACACGCTTGATAATAAAGAATCATGATCCCCTTATATAGGTGCAAACACATAAACGCAATCCTAGAAAGATATTTCAAAATCATTTTAATATTTTACATTTTATGAGGAACAATTCTGAAAAAAATTCTGCAATATACCATTTGAAATCACAACAGAAATATTTCTGAAACCTTTCATATGTATCGATTTACGTAATTACGTAATTTACGTAATCATGTGCAATCTTTTGAATGTGAAATATATAATAAAAAAAATATACATAAGAAAGATTCTATTACTTATATAGGCTAAAATTGATCATTTTATTCAATGTTCTGGACAATGAATAAAATAGGTCAATTTTGATCAAAATAATGGAATCTTTTTTATGCATGTTTTTTCTTTGTAACAGAATTTATGATCCCATATAATTTTATAATGTCTATATGCATATTGTACATTCTAATTATTAATCAATTGTAATTCTCCTGCGCGTTTTCTATTTAGCTGGCACGAGATGGGTATATACGATTTGCCGGCTATGATAGACTATATATTATATCAAACTGGCCAAAAGCAGCTGTTCTACGTAGGCTTTTCTCAAGGAACAACGCAATTTTGGGTCCTTACGTCCCTCAGGCCAGAATACAATAAGAAAATCAAACTTATGTCCGCTCTAGCCCCTGTGGCTTACACCGGACATATTGGCGGTTTGCTGAGACCTTTGAGTTATTTCGCGAATTATTTTAAGGTAAGTATTAGGTAGCTACTCGGGTAGTAATCCATTAAAATATTTTCTGAAATTTCAAGAAAAAATATAAATAACTTACGGAAGTCATTCTTCCAACTTCAATTTATAAATTACAGAATATAATTAGATCTATTTGCAACTTTATCATTACAAACAAAACTATATCATTATGCTTATGTAAAATAAAATCTTTATATTTACTATCTTATATTTATGTACACACACACACACACACACGCGCGCGCGTGCAAGCTGGATTTTTTTCGTTAAGAAACATGCAAAGTACTTTACAGAGATATGCGAATTATTCGAAACGAATCAAGTAAGATTTTGGACTTTTAGCTCATTCAATATACATACACTAGGTGTTGATCCATGAAATTATAAATGTCTAGTGAATTTGCTCACTTTTGTAATATTTATCTCATTTCAAGATGCGCAATCAATTCTCAGATTCGATCCGGATTCGAATCGGTTCGATTCGTATTCGGAAAAAAAAAAAATTGGATTCGATTCGGAGCCAAAAAACCTTGATTTGCACATCTCTAGACTAGTTCCAAAGGATAATTCTATTTAAAAAAAAAAAAGCAGATTTTTCTCGCAAATCTATTCTGTATTGATTATTATACCCGCTCAATTCGACAGGGATTTTACAAGTACACTGGATATTTTGAAATGTTAGCGAATACGGAATTAGAGAAATTCGTAACGCACATCTTATGCCAGAAAGACGTTTTCACTCAACCATTGTGCCAACTGTTAGTGTCCATGATCGGAGGTTTTAGCATCGGAGAGACGGATTACGTAAGCTATCGCCGTAAAAACCTATTGATTGAGCTAAATGTGACTCCGATTCGCTTATATGAGATGACATTATTTTCAGGCACACTTGGAGGATTATCTGCAATTTGCACCAGCAGGATGCTCGTTCAAGCAATTGGTTCACTATGCATTGGGCATTCAGAATCCAGGTATCGGGTTTTCAGAGTCCGATTTTTTAAATTATGGATTTGTGGGATTACGAATTTTTTTTCTTTTAAATACAGAGAAAGAACAAAATAATATAAACACTTAGAAAAAATTGTTTGTTTTATTAATAAGAGGTCGCCAATAATTTGCCTTTAATATAGATTCTATCCTTGTTGAATAATTAATTAATTATAACAATGCATGAATAGTCATGAATGGAATGTTATACACGGAAGGAATAATTTTTGTTGAAGTATTTGAAAATTTAGCTAAATATAGATCTGAAAATAATTTTGTTAAATCATTCAAATAATTATGTAGGATATTCAAACTGATCAAGTATGCTTATAATAGAATGTCAAAACGTATTGCGTGTCATATTTGTATTTCCTACATAATTACTTCGACAAAATTATCATTTTCAGATTTATTCAAGTTTTTAAATCCTTCAACAAAATCATTCTCGTCACATATTATTCTCTTTTAGAATTTTTCAAATGCTTACATACGTAATGTCGAAGAAAAAAAATTTACCTTTCACTTTATTTTCCAAAATTATTTTTTGTTCAAAATTTCAGTTTTTCCTGGTCAGCGCAATGACCTGATTTAAATATCAACGAATCATTATGAGCAAAATAAGAAAGAGAAAAGATTGAAGTGTAAAATAAAAATTTGAAAAGTAGAATAAAAAGCAGTTTTCTTTCAATATCTCTTAAACAGTGTTCTATTGAACTAGAAAATTCTGTTAGAAGATTGGTATTACATTGCACTGATGTATTCGAACATTGTACAATTCTATTCCAGGTATAAAGGTGGTTGAATACTTTTGGAACTGAAAGTGAAATAGATATGTTTGATATTTGTCGAAAGCAAGAGTTCTAATGCAGTTTAGTGCAAGAACAGAAAACAGACCATATATATTAAAGACAAATGATAGGCCAGTAATATTATAATAACACAAGTGATGTGTATTTCCTAGATGTTCACATTTTATTTTATCTATCTCCTACGTGCTAACATCAATTATATTCCTTCATAACCGAGTCGCTTCTCTTGCAGGACATTTTCGGCCTTACGATTATGGCACATTACCAAATCTCAAGTTTTACAAGCGATTCGTTCCGCCGGAGTATCCCATGGAAAAAATCACGGCTCCCGTAATTTTGTATAACGGCTTGAATGATATTTTGGCTGCTCCAAATGTAATTAAATGCATCACTAATTTGCCGTTGTGTATACAAATGAACGAAAGGAAGATACTCTGTTGTCTTTTCAATCTTGCATAAAATATCAAATAACATTTTATCATTTATAATATTTTAGGATGTTGAGATATTAAATAGAAAATTGCCGAATATTTTGGAAAAATATACAGTGACGCTAAGGAGATTGAATCACTTCGATTTCGTATACGGTTTGCACGTACGACAGCTCGTTTATGATCATCTTATGGAAAGAATGAATTCCATACCGTAAAGGTAAAACGCAAATTCTTAAAAATTAATACAAATCCTTACAAACGATTTGGATTAATTATGATTTATGCATTTTAGATACCTAATTAATTTGATTAAATGCCTGGTATCCTTTGCAATTTTGACGTGACTAGGAGTTGCTTCAGGGAAGACACGAAAACTTCAATTAATTTTGCATTAATTTTATTTCACGTTCGTCTTTCTCGTAATCGTATAAATTTTGATTACGTGTTCCTTTTTTTAGGAAAGAAAGATAGACTTTTGTACATTAGAGCAAGTAATATTAGAGTCTATAACATAAAGCTATCAGTACCTACTATTTATTACTCAGTACCTACTCAGTACCTACTATTTAGTATTATGACTTTAATATACTATCTGAGATAAAAGATTGAGAACGCGTATTCAAAATTGCAACTGTACCACAATGCTGTTTATGTTGACGAACCGAATCATAGTAAAACGTTGAAGTCCAGTAGAAGCCAGTAGAAGATGCTGAAACAAAATAAGATTTCTAGGACTCGTGTCGAAATCCCGTCGTATAATTCTACAAGATTATTGATTCGTTATACTTCAGCCTAATAATGTATAATACTCTTTACAAAGTCTACATAAAGCATTCAATTTTCTTATCAAAATTCAAATATATTTCCATTCGTATACAAATTATACGTTATTGAAGTGTTTATCGAATTCATTTGTATAATTGCTACATTTATTTATATACATGTACATAATTAACATATAGATGTAACATGATAATTTTGATATATAATTAATAAAAAGATATTTGCGCGCATGATCTTGTTTGGAATAATTTTATACGAAATAAAGAAAGACATTACTGCAAAGTAATTTCTATCAAAATTTTTATTTGCAGCAATAAATCGAATAAAATACATTGCAGCAATATTTTCCTTTTGTGTACAAAATTATTTTGAAAATAACGAAATATACGAATTTATTATTCCCTATTTATCACTTCCTGTAAATAAGAATTCATACGAATCCTGAATACTATATCGATAATATTTATTTATTAATACAAAAGTAGTCTTCACATTAAGATGCGCGTATTTTTACAAATTGCGAGTCTCATAATTCCGATGTCTAAAAAGATAATTAAACAATTAAATCATAGTCTTGCTTTAAATTGCTATATTTTCGCGTGAAATAACTGCATTTTATTAATCAACAAATAATTATTCAGTAATTACATTTTGTGTGGGATATTCTTTTTTAACGTTCTGAATAAAAAAATCATATTCATTTAAATTATGTTATACTTTACTCATCTCATTCTAAGATTTATATCCTAATAGATTCTCTCAAAGAACCAATACTTCATTTTTTCATCGACAGTAAAATAATAATTGCCTAATAACTATACAAATTTTTTGACATTGCATCTTGTTATATATGAATTATGTGAAATTATTAAGCATAGAAAATGCGTGACTAGTTAACAAGACTTACTTAAAGATATGTAATATTAATAAATACGTAATTTTGAAACAAGATAAGAATTCTAGATATTAAAAGTATTCAGATTAAATGGTAAAAAAAAATAATTTCATATTAATAAAATATCTACTTGAGAGAAAAAGATTTTTCAAGGAAACTCGAATATTCTGAAAATATTCAATGGATAGGAATGCACAATTAATTATTCATTTTGAATGTCTAATCTTGATAAATCTTGAAGCACTTTAATTCTCGATTCTTATGATGGAACATGTCGGAATGAAGTCGGAATTATTTCGTTTTCCCTAGAAAACAATAGAAATGTAGGGAATAATTGAATTTCGATCGGAATCCATTTCGACTTGTTCCGTGATAGGTGCCCTCATTTTATTTCTTATATTATAACTAAATCTAATAACAAAAACTTTTATCATATCTATAGAAAATTTACAAAGTTATCAAGTAATTTTATTGCATATAATACTTATATCGTTATATGATTCAAAATAAAGATTGAGCAAAACTTTCACTGCTTTTTTATTGCATAATGACAAATTATATTTTTTATATGTAGCTCAATTTTTCCAACACAAATTCAATCAATTCAATCAATGTAAAACTATATAATGAAAAAACGAAAATATATAACGTCTATTGCAATCTATAATCACATCTCATGTGCATGTGTGCATGTGCTGGGCTGCATTCAAAATCCGAGTGCTCCAGATGTTGTTTTATCTTTATTTATTCGGTAAACAAGATTGAAACAACATCTGCATCTGCACGACGATTCAGAACTCAGTCCAGTTATAAGAAAATATTTAATATATCCAAGTAGCAAAGAGCAAATAAAAAAAATTCCTTGTTAAGCATCTCAGATTTCTACATCGCGTTAAAACAGTGTCATTTATATATAATATATATTTTTCAATTATTGCATCAGATAATATATAAACACTATATAATAAATCGAGAATTGAATGAGAGATGTAACAAAAAAAAGCAAGAAAAAGAAAACTCTAAGAAACGATCTTTGATTAGTCTATGTAACAAGTCGCGGACTCTTGTTAAGAATAATATAATATCACTGCTTTTCTCATATTGTTCTGTTAAAAGGTACAGAATAAATATACAACCTTGGCTAGGAGCGGATCCTGACCTCAATTCCTGTATCGATGCGATGACTTCTTACCATCACGATAGCTCGACTTGGACCGTGACTTTCTACTTCGGTCTCGTGATCTGGATCGACTGCCCCGTCGTTGGCTCCTCCCAGAAACGTAGGATCTTGACCGTCTGTGATCCCGCGAGCGGCTGCGCGTTCTCGAGCGCGATCTTCCGCGTTTAGTTCCGCGCGACTTGCTGCGCGACCGACTACCTCGTCGCCTTTCTCTGGAATGTGAACGCGATTTCCATCTACGAGAATGCGACCGCGAAGACCACTTTCTGTTGGTGGACGTCGATCTGGAACGACGGTAGCTGCGCGAACGTGATCTCACACGTTTCCTGTCGCGCGACCGCGTGCGACGCTTTCTGCTGGATCTGTGACCGCTGGAGGATCGCGAGCGATAGTCCCCCCTCCCGCCGCCACCACCGCCACCGCCGCCGCCGCCACCGCCGCCGCCACCGCCGCCACGTTCAGATGAGCGCGACGATCTGGTGGACCGTCTACCACTTCGTGACTTGCTCCTGCTCTTAGACTTCCGCCGTCGATTGTAACGCTGTTTATGCTGTTGCTGCTGCGACTGTTGTTTGCGCGCTTTCTCGTGATGCTTCTTGGGCGCGGATTCGCGGCTCGACTCAGACAAGCTGCTCGTGGACTCGGTGCTGCTCGACTCTGAATCGGCGGATCCCGATACGATGCTGCTCGGCTTCGCTACCTGCTGGCCGTCGGCCGCCGGCGCGTTCTGCGGCACCGCCGCTGTTGGGCTTTGACCGCCGCTCGACAAAGTCTCGGACGCTTCTCTCTGATTATCTACCGTTTCTTTTTCATCAACTAAAGTATGACGTCAGGAAGTTACACTTAATTTCCCAGCAGCCACATGCGGATGGGTTGTCTGTCGAAACATACCTGACTCTCGGCAGCTAGTATTACCGGTATGATTTTCCTGTTGCTTATTACTGTACTGCTCTTCGCTACGCTGCTCCTCCTCCTCCTCTTCCTCAGCGAGCCGTGCCTCGATCTCCTCCTCCGTCTTGCGAAATGCCTGCTGTCGTCGTCTCAGTGTTTCCTACGAAATTGACTCGTGAAATAAAACGGTGTCACCTTTGCAAGTTGAATTAATCGCGACGAATTAATCTAACAGTACTGCGAAACTAAAATCTATTTGAATTTTTTAACTTTTATAAATATGTAAAGTGATTTATAGGAGTTATTCATACCACATCATCCTTTAGAGATTTTTTATTTTAAAAACAAAAGTGCTTTTGAAACAGAAAATTAAAAATTTTTTTAGAAAGATCTTTTTTAAGAGAAAACGGGAGATTATATACAGCTCAATCCAAGGCAACATTTGAACATATAATATTCAGAAAGAAAAAAATAAATAAACACAATTTAGATCTTATTAAGCAAAATCTTACTCCTTAAGATTGAAAATCATATTTTTGAAAAGTCATAGAGCACGAATAACATGCATATTGTTATTTATGGATTGAGTTACTTTACATGTCCATAAAAATTGATCCAAATAAAAAATTTCGCAGTATTTCCTCGTGTAAGAAAATTCCTACCTTCAACTCTTCATCGCTATCATCATTCTGAATCTGCGCGTGTTCACTCTGTTCCTCCTCGGATTCGCTGTTACTGTCGTTATAGATGCTCAGACCTACGGCAGACAAGAGCCAGGAATTACATCCGTTTAGTACGCACGCGACACTCTCTCAATGTCGGAGCGACAGAAAAACAAATAAAAAAAAAAGGTAAAAAATATATGCTCGGCTCTGGCTAATTTTCACAGCCGTTATTCTCATCAAGAAACGTCCTGAGAAAGAGCACGAGAGAGAGAGAGAGAGAGAGAGAGAGAGGAGAGGGGGAACACCTCTCTTTCGGTTGCAGCGATAAATAATTTCTACGAGAGAACGGCCGAGTTTAACATCAAGTTAAACTTGAACTTGTGCGTAATTACGCAGTGTCCCTTTTCTTTCTCTCCTTTCTCACGAGTCACTGCGTCACTGTTTCACGGCCGTTCCCTACAGATATCGCCGTGCGTTATAATAGAGCGTCAAAGCGTACTCACCGAGTGATTCGTGAGTGATCTGAGCAAGAGGGGCCATGTTGAGGGATGCGACGGGGGTCTCTCCTGCAGGGACTTACAATACACACGCATTTAGTAATCAATCGCTAAAAGTGTGCAGTACCGCATACGGATAACGCCCCCGATAATACCGAATGGCTCTGATCAGCCCATTCGCGCAAGGGGGGCGAATCATCCCTTCGCTTCCTTTTATGTACCTTAAGAAATCTTTAATAGCATTATTCCACACTTATAAGTCAAACTATAATATTCTAATGCCCTAAAGGAAAATGACATCTACATCGCGCGGTTTGCTACGCAGCTTGTAACTTTTATTGCCGGAACTTCGAAGGATAAAGTTCGCAATGCATGAAACGAAGTTTGTTAGAGATACTTATAAAAATTCAGATAAAAGTCTTTAAAATGTTTACAAATCAAATGATAAAACATGCCCATGCATAGATGGGTATGACAGATATAACAAGTATTTTTCATTAATTATACACACATTAAATATTATTAAATTATACTATCTAGTCCTTATTAAAACAATTTCAGATTGTTAAAATACTATTTACACTATGATATAATATTTTAGAGTACCTTCATCATAGAGATATATCGCGAAAAAGATCATTACCGGACATAAAGATGCCGGTAATGTAAAAATGTCTTAAAAATCTGCGACACGTAATCACGGGACGATTACGTGATTAAAAGCGAGCGAGAGAGAGAGAGAGAGAGAGAGAGAGAGAGAGAGAGAGAGAGAGAGAAAGAAAGAAAGAGAAATGTGTCTTACGCTACACGCAAATCTCTGAAAACGCAAAACATAGGATGTCCTGAAATTGCCGAATAATTAAGTCTACATGTTAAGGTATCTCTGTTTAATGCTCTCAAACTTTGTATTACACAATCGCACAGCTTCGTCGCAGCGTGATGTCGCGAGTAGACTCATTGACTCGGATTCTGTGCCCCGATGGGCGAAAGCACGGAAATTCAATTGGTTAGTTCTATCGTGTGTATCTGGGAGGGTACCTTTGGCACGTGCGCGGCTCCAAACCTCCCTGCATACCGCACCAATTTCTTCGTTCGTCACTTCCAGAAGTATTTCCGTCAATGATCTCCTCACTTTCAACATCTGCGTAATAGAAGACATGATGCAATCCACTCGGATATCATTAAATTCATTATAATTAATTAAATATATATTGGATATTAATTCACATTATTTTAGATCTTTATTTAATATCAGTTGTTGATATCGTATCTTTTATTTCTATGTAATAATTTTTTAAGTTGAAGTTACTATTATTTTTTTGCGAGGTTGGAATAAAAAACTTTCATTGAGAAAAAATATATGATATATCACTTAGTAAAAATAGTATATTGACTCCAAGTTAAATCCCAAACCATCCATGCTAAATTCAATAAAAAATATAACCCACGTGGTACTATCTTTAATCTTTAATACAATGAAACCTAAGGACATATTTTTGTATTCCTATTAAAGGATCTTCCTATTCCGATCCAAATGGCTTTAATTCTTTTTATATAAAATTTTTATATGATAATTTAAAGACATTTTCTCTTCCAACCTAATTGTAAATAGTAGTTGTTTAATTCTCCTTTAAAATATTCAAAACGTTAGTACAAAATTACGTTACCTTGTTTATTCAAGTATTTGCTACAAAAAATTAAATAAGTAAACACTTGGCGCTGCTTCTAATTGGGATGAAACGAAAACCTAAATCTTGCCCTTTTAGACTATAGATTGAAAATTAAGAGCCGTTAATGCAAAGAACATGTAAGGAGTAAAGAAATTATATTGTTATAAAATGTTAATAATATAATATTAACATTTGCTCGTTAAAAATAGCAAGATTCATAAATATTTTCCAGTGTTATAAACGATAGTATATATCTATGGCCGCCGCTTAGCCGTTGTACTACATTTTGAATGTTATAATTTTATAGGGAAATCTTTTAGATGAATGCAAAAATTGGATTCCAGAACAATAGTACAAAATCAAATGCTCTAAAAGAATATATCCGAGTAAAAAACTTTTTGAGGGCCGAAATAAAAAAAACTATTTTTTACCAAGTTCTTTATTCCTAATTTCTAGTTTTTGTTTAGTCATTTTCATCTTTATACTTACCACATCCTGTAAAATTTCTTCTCGAGACCGTTTCTGCACAATCGGAACCATACTAACCGCAGCAGTCGGACTCTCATCGGGTCCCGTATGAGACTCGGGTGAATCAGCGTCCCTGAATCGTGATTTTCGTGGCCGAACAATGATATCCGGGGTGCGATCGTAGCTCTTTTCCACAGATTGTTGTCCGCGTGTATTACTCGTATCGAAATCCTGCTCAATTTCCTTTTCCGAATCCGAATCCTGTAGGAGCAAGTGTGACAATGGATAATTTCATGTTTTAAAATTCGCGAAGTTATGGATAATATCGGTACAATATGAAAATTCAGCGGATTTGATTTTTAAAGTTTGAACAAATATGATTATGTGGAATTTTCATGTCATTTTTTACCACTTGACCCTATTAATTATAATTAAAACGAACGTGGTTTATAAATCAAAATATACGAAAAGAAGAGCATAAAACTACAGCACAAGATATTGTTTGTGATATTTAATATGTCACTACATTAATAAAACATTTTTTTAGACGTTTCGGCCACAATCTGACCATCTTCAGTAAATTCACAAATATTCTTAAAACGCAGAATTACATATATTTGACATTAAATTCAGCCGTCATGTAATATAATTATGTATAAACGTTCTTTCATCTTGTAAAGGTGCATCGTACAACAATGTTGCAGCGCCAATTGTCATATTGCAAATTATGTAGAACAAGAATTTCCAGATTCTAATTTAAAAAATTAACCTATCATTAATATCTTCTAGTCGATTGAGAATTGAATCGTTACTTGTTTTACAGAAAAAATGATGAGTACTTCCTTTACGCAGATGGAAATTCGTCGTGACATTGTGTATTATTATTTGTCATATCATATATGTTACTACTATTTATATATGTCAAAAGTTAGATTGTTCTAGAATTATTTATTAAGTGTGAGAGAGATCTTTCTTTAGAAAAGGCAGATAAACATCGGATAAATCTTCCGTGTCACTTTACTTATTGATAAATAATAATACACAAATAATAATACAGGACAAATTTCCATCTGCGTAAAGGAAGTGCTTAAGATTCATAATTTTTTCTGTAAAACAGATAACGATTCAATTCTCATACAATCGACTAGAAGATATTAATGATAGGTTAATTTTTTAAATTAGAATCTGGAAATTAGAATCTTCACAAGATGAAAGAACATATTTATACATAGTTATATTACACGACAGCTGAATTTAATGTCAGATATATTCTATTATATAATGTCAGATGTAATTCTACGTTTTAAGAATATTTGCGAATTTACTGAAGATGGCTATATTGTGGCCGAAACATCTAAAAAATGTTTTATTAATGTAATAACATATTAAATATCACAAACAATGTCTTGTGTTATTTTTTTGTGCTCTTCTTTTTGTATGTTTATCAATTATGTGTCAATGCAATGAAAATGAATCGTCACTCTTCCGGTTTGGCTGTAAAATAGGAATTAATTTTTAAGCTCAACACACTGAAGATTACTTGAAATAAAGCCGAAATGTCTAATTATTATTATTCGCGTTATATTGATTAAAAGTTCGTAAATTGAAAATTTTCATAATCGTCTTCGTACTAATTACCGCGCAAAAACTCTCATTGGCCCGATTTATTTTTATCTTATTCGACATTCTCGGGAGTTACTCTTTGTTTTGTAATATAAAAACAAATATGATTATTTAATTTTTTCCCAAAATAAAAAGATAATTTTCGCTATATATTTTACAAATCTATTCTATAAATTGTAAATATTTTATTTAAAAATATTTTTGTTTAAATATAATTTGAAAATTTTATTGTTTTCTTGTTTCTGATGTCATTATCTGAGATAATAATTGAATGAACAAGAGTTTTATCGCTTACAAATTTACTCTTGCTCGGATTGAGCACTGCACGCGCCTCATCCTCTGCTTGCTTGCGAGCTTCCAATTCCTGCTTTCTCAGTATCTCTAGCCTTTCTTTCTCCATGGCTTTCTGTTTCTCCTTTTCCATTTTTTCCAGACCTTCGCGGATCCATGCCGGCAACTGTCTTCGTTTTGCGGCGTCTACACGCCGCAAAACAGATTAACAAAAATGTATAACTGACGCTGTGTTGGAATTTCATAATTGCCAATCAGCTGAATCAGTTTCAACGATTACCAGCTATTATTATTATCCGTTATAATTTTTACCTATAGTTGTAGTAGTATCTTCCTCCGGTGTCTTTTCTCTGTCATCTCGACCACGAATAGAATCCATCGCTCTCATGTGAGGTCCTCTACTTGTATGCCTCATGCCCTTCATAAAAGGAAGCGGCTGTGGTGATATTGCATTAGGTGGCTCACCAGACCAATAGTTAGAAACCTGATAAACACATTTATTAAGGAACTTAATGCAACATGTGGCATGCATACAAAAGCAGTTGGTTCACAGTCGGTAAATTCCGAGTTCGATCTCGATCCTTATGTCATGTATATCTTGACTTTATAAGAAATTGATTAAAGAATTATGTAATTGAAGTTTGTGAATAATAGTACCCGCCTCTCTCTCTTTCAGATTACAATTTTTAATAATTTTTTTTATATTACTCAATTTAACTTTACAATGTCAATACTTTTATTATTATTTTGATGATTTATCTTGCTGATAAGGATTAAATTAAAATGTCCATTTGCCTTTCTAAATTAGAGAATAAATTATTTATTGCTAATACTTATAATTTTACCATTTTTAATTTCTCATCGTTCTTAGTCATCGTTTTTCTCAATTTCAACTAGATATAAAATAAGAAAGTACTTAGTTTGAGAATGGATCACTTGAAAACCTGCTCTCCTCTTTCAACTTAAACTATTCTATGCCATTCTAGAACAGAGATTTTACTTTCCTTCATTTCTTTACCTGATTATATGGTTGTCCAGGTGGCACCGAATTATACGAGTACAGCGACGGCGCAGGGGGAGGTGTGTTGAAATCAGTAGTGGTAGATATCGTTGGTGCAGGTGGAATAACCGGTACAGCTGGAAGTCCAATTGGTTTGCCATCGGGATCTACGGTAACACCCGGGGGAGGAACGCCACTCCATTCCCAATTCCCGGTTCCAGATGTTGAGGCGTTCCAGTGACCCCATTGGTTCCACTGAGTCCAGGCTTCTATTCCCGTCAATATTATATCGCAATAAGAAAATCTCTCTTGTTACTAATTTCAATAGTAACCATTCATTATTAATGTTAACATGGATGATTCAATTTCTGTCCAAGATTTTCAATTTCTTCGAGAAACAATAAAATATGCCATATATTTCATAACAATAAGTAAGTTCTCTCTGCTATAAAATGAGAGCAATCAGAGGCACACAAAATTGTAAAATAATGATGACAAATATGAATAGAGTTAGTATAAGAGTTCAAGCAGCATTGTATCCTCAAATTTTTGATTAAAGAAGAAAATAAGCTTTCAGAAATGTTACGGAATTTGCAAACCCATAGTTTTGGCGATAATAATATTCTTTTCAAATCTCAAGTATACATGAGTAGTGTATGAAGTCAGAAATGGTCGAGGATTTTCATCAAAGGATTTTCATCAAGCAATAGCTCCAATCAAAACCAAAAACTTATTTTGCAAGTATAGCATCGTTGCGAAAATTATGGAAGGTGTGTGTGTGCGTGTATGTGTGCATATATAGAAGGGTACTTGTAAGAAGAGACCTAATCGAAACTAATACTGGCCTGTCACAACTATCTGAAATCTAAATCGATCTGTCAGAATTGATTATCCTTGAAATATGTTGTTCAACACAAAAACCTAAAGGACATTTTTTTAATATATCGACTCAATTTGTGATTTAAAAGCTGAAACAATTTCTCAAAACTAACGCTTATATCTAATTTCAATTATTATCAACAAAATAACTAAATAAAAATATGTTTTAAACAAAACTTGTATAATTTTTTAATATACTTTATAATTGTGTATTTAGAGTTTTCAAAAAAAATACATGTATCTCAGAGTTTGATACTTAACAATATATTTCAAGAAGAATTGAATCAAGGCATTTAGGATGGAAATGTTTAGAATGGATTCCGATCAGAGTTATTCCATTTTTTTTTAGAAAACACAATAAAAATTTAGGAGCTAATTAAACAATTCCGATCGGAATCCATTCTGACTTGTTCCATGATAGGTGTCCAGTTGTCCCTAGTAGTGACAATACATAGTTTCATTGTCATTATGAAAATTTTGAACAGAAGTTAAATCATCCAAATCAGATATTTTTTTCACCGGATCCACTGATGGTCGGTGCAGGTGGTGCTGGAGGCACATCATCGTCCTTAGTATCCATGTCCATTGGTGCCTCTCCACTATCATTCGCACATACAGGATTTATGCTGGGTGGTGGTGGAGCTGGTGGCACGACAGTTTCCTTCATCTTTATCCATTGCTGCGCCAGAGCAGCCCAATCCACTATTCCAGATAATAACAATAAATTCATACGTTTACTTATTCTCCATAAACAAAATGATACAGAATCTTTGCCTAAATCCTGTCTACAGATTATCCAATCCCTCTCTCCCTCATAATTCCTCCTTTTCTTTATGTATATTCATTCCTTCCACTCTTTCATCTACACATCTATCTCCTCTTAGTTTCTACTTCCCACTACTTTCCAACATAATCTTTTCCTTCCTTCTCTAAATGTCAATTTTTTATTTCATAATATCTCATAATACTGAAGAAACAATACATTGTTTTACTTCTTATCGTATTGTCTCTAATTTTATCCGACTTTCTACGCCAGAAACACTTTTAATTGTTGACTAAAGAAATTTTGGTTTTTTAAATCAAAGATATTTATTCGTATTAATTTTAGCTGTTACTAAATTATAAACTCATATATCGATATACATTTTACAAATTTGACTTTTATTAATTTTTGCATGTATCATCTCAATATATATATTATTATATATTGTTTGATTTGCTATATTCAATTTCTTTCTTTTACTATAACAATAATCTTGTGCTGACATAATTCTTGTATATTATATTTTATCTACAGGACTAAATTCATCTTTATGCGTTATATTTTCTATTTACATTATATCAAATGACATTATTCAAGCAATTCAATGATTAACTATTATAGCAATTAACTATTGTCATGCGATGACTTTTTCTAAGCTATACATTATAACTATGAACAGGATGATAATCGTTTTTATATTACCAGCGTTTATTAGAGAGAGCGAAGTATAAATTTATATTATGTTTTGTTTTTACCGTTTGTAATATTATATGTTTTTAAGATTGATAATGATCCGATCGCGATCGAAACGTTTATTTGTTTATTGCTAGCACATTGTATTAAATCTTAACTAAAGGATATTGTTTCTTTTACTTATGTTCAAACTTTTATATTAATGATATTTAATTTTATAAAATAATTTTTAGCCCTTTTTTTTATTGTTTAATAAATTCATACATTAATAATAATGATTTTAGTTTGTTATACTCTACGATAATATATTCAAAGATGTTATATATAAAATTATTAATCAATAAATCCATAATACAAATGTGTAAAACATCTAATGTTGACATCGTTCGAACGTATTACATTATGAATTTATTTTTATCAAACTACTATATGTTGTTCATGTTTATATCCCACTTTTACATAATAGCATAGCACATGAAATGTTGTAACATTTAGTTAATATATTTATCTTTCTAAATTCTTTAGAGCCAGTCTTGAAATGCCATATTCCTATATCACTGCCAAGTTGACGACCACTATTGAAAATCTATAATTCCCGTTATGTATACTATATGTATTCTGTACTATATTAGCAATAATATATGAAAAAGTGCTAAATTTTCAATCTTTAAGAGACAGATACATTTTAAAAGTTTTAGGTCCAATTGCACGAACGTTACTTTAATTTTAAGCGAGGCTGAAAACTTTCTATCTCTTCCTCTCTATCATCTTTAAAGAGAAAAAATGAGTTTTAGCTTTTGCTTAAAGTCAAAGTATCTTGGTGCAATCGAGCCTTAAAGAGTTAACAAAAATGTATCTTTGTCAATTTGCGAGTGACTTAAATATTATGGACATGTAAGCTAATTATACTTGTATCATTCTTGCTGAGGAGGACTCCAAAGAGAGTCGAAACGTTCAAAATAAAGAAGACCATCCAATATCTGATTATTGATGTTCACTAAATAATTGCACCGTTTATTGTTGCTAACTCTCATTAGCCTACTATATTTATCTTTTTGTATTGTTTAAAATTCGAGAGTCCTAATATAATTATTGTTATTGTAACAAAATTGATACAGAACTGATATAGAATTATTGAAGGCTGAAAATTAGATAATTACAAGGAAATATTTCATACATCAAACATCATCCTGCATACACATTTCTATGCCTTTGTAACACCAGAAGAGCAGAATCAGTACATATATATAAGGCTGAAAATTTGCCACCCTGGGCGACGGCTCACCTTGATCGTTACTCATGTTTTGATAAGCGGAAGGATTGAGCGCCCACTGAGTCGGATAATCCTTCCCCTCGAACATATCCCCGCTCATCTTCATTTGCGAAAGTGCACAGTCAAAATCTCGACTAGATATCTCGAGCCAATTTGTGCCTAACCTACCACAGTTTATCACAGAACATAGTCCTTGGCGCCACTTCACTGGGATCGGAAGTGACTTCGGAAAGACATGGAAGCGCTGCGAGAACGGCGTCCTCGCGAACTTTTCTTTTTTGGTCTCTCGCTTTCCCTCTTCCCGGCGATGATGCTCGATGGAATTTCAATATCCAAACGTGCGTCTTGGTTGATCTTGGTGCGTTTCTACTGCGCGGTGATAATACTTTTCTACAGTTGTATCATATGCCCGAAAAATTATAACCGTTACTATTCAGAATTTTGGATGCGTCTGTGCCTGATCAGCTTGACTTAGTACAAGCGACGACATATGTCGTACGATACGACGATGAGACGTCCCACTCCCCAGGATCTCGACTTTGACGAAATGCGATCCCGCCCGGGATTTAGACGATAGACAATGTCTACGACGTAGCCATAGCCGTAGACACAGACACTCCATCAGAGAGGTGGACGTCTCGCCGCATCATGCAGTGCCAATACAGCATTTTAAAATAATGGCTCCTGCACACTGCACATTGGCCTAGTTTCCACCGAGAGTTTAATCCGGATCAGAATGGCTGCGTTTAGCGGACTCAACAGTTGAGTGAGCGCTCGCTGTTATTGATGCATTCTTTTAAATCATCCAATCAGCATTTTAGATCTGGAAGAATATATCAATAGCAACGAGCGCTCACTCAACTGTTGAGTCCGCTGAACGCAGCCAATGTAAGAACCAACCAACTACAGTCAAGCATTTTCCTGTCGTTCGACTGTAACAGAGGAATACTCGACTGTAGTTGGTTGGTTCTTACATTCTGATATTTCCGATTTAAACCCTCAATGGAAACCAGGGGGTCGATTCTGTTTCTTCAAACAAGATGAAAATTACAAAAGCGAGTAAATTTACTAGGTGTTGAGCAATGAAATAATCAATATTCTAGTAAATTCGCATTCATTTTTATAATTTTTACCTCATTTCAGATACAGAATCGATCCCTAGGAGATACTATCAAAGACATTGCAGACGCATTTGCGACAACCAATCAAAAGCTGTTATTAGTATTATTGGCCCTTCTGATTGGCTGTCGCAAATGCGTTTGCAAATTGCGTTCTGCATTTATGTAGACGACCCTTTAAAGACCGACATCTTTACGGGAATTTGCGTCTTTGTGATATTAAAGTGATTAAAAACTGATAATATTGTAGTAATTTCATGATTTATTAGTTTAGTAGACGTAATTATGCATGTATAACTCAATAATACTCGATTTTTCTTTAAAATTGTGATTTTAGTATTATCGTCAAAGTTTGATTATCAACAGAAATAATAATTGCAGAGAAAAAATTGTAATTTTTCTGCAATATATAGAATATTATAGCTTTACAAGTATATTATATGCATATTTATTTATGGAATATTTATGTAATAAAAAATCATGAATTTAATAATGTATGAGCCAAATATTTATGTTAATAATAATAAATTTGTATTAATTGTCGATGAGGTTAGCGTTCTTCAATTACTCTTGGGACCCTTTTTATACCGTCGAAAATTTGCCCAGGCTTGACAGTCTTTAATAGTATCTTGTTGGTGCTTAGATCATGGAACTTTATCCCTAGGTTGGAAAGTGAAAAGTAAAAATTTTTACCATTGACATTAATAGAGAAAATTTTCTATCCTAGGGATAAAGTTTCATGATTGATATCCAGGAGTCATAAGTTCATCAGAAAAATTCCGATTGTTTACATCGTACATATGGCATATATCGCCGATTGGCCAATTAAAAAACATATTTTTTCATTGGTAATGCAATGAAAAATTTAGTGAGCACCTTTCCCCCCCCCCCCCCCCCCCCACCAGCTGATATTAATAGTGCAATCGGGATTGTTGTCAAACGGGATTCTTCCAAGTTCATCATTGGCTAATGGCTGCTAATCACGTAATTGCAACGACCAATCAGAAATCACTTAACACCAGTCGCGCTTGTCTTATTAATTTAGGATTCTAGGACAGTGAAGCTCCAAAATTCACTGTCAGCGCTGAAAATCTACAGTTTACGTCACGTATGTTATACATTTTCAGCACTAGCAGTGAATTCTGAAACACATATACATATGTTAGAGGCTCTGCACAATAAAAGGAACAGGGAACAGAGAACAGAGAATAAAAATTTCAACCTATCAGAAACTGTGTATTCCACAAAGTATGATTTCTGATAGGTTGAAATTCTTATTCCCTGTTCCTTTTATTGTGCGGAGCCCCTTACATTTTACTAATTACTCTCCCTTCATGAAGTACGACAAAAAACTGTCGCAAACATCAGTGAATCAGTTGGTACTAGTTGATTAACGTTAATTTCTCACGATATAACTGGATATTGGCCGCACAGTCTCAGAACTCTCGACGCGATTACGTAATTTTCCTCAAGCTCCGTGCAAGGCAGGGGCCCTCTGCCATCTCGCATTTCCGAGAGCTATCCAGAGCTATCAGTTAGGTAATTCACTCATATGCATTGTGTTTGATCTCGGAGCAAGGCATTCTTCCGAATATTGACGTTTCTGTGAAGACTTCGTTAACACGACAAGAAGGCGGATATTTTCATTGATTGTATCGTATGATAAATAATTCTACGATGCAATTAATGTAACACGTATATAAATAAATCTTGCGGAATACTAATGCGTATAATTGCGCTGAATTGGCAGATAACTCAAAGATATATTCGTTAAAATTTGATATAATTCGCGATATCGCCGATTAAATCTCAAACCGATAACAAAAACTTCATTTTATCCAGTTTTATTATACACATTTTATCATCGTCGTCAATCTTGTAAATGTTATATAAATCTCCATGTATTTCATTTAATAATAAGATATCTAATTTTGCGTTTAGAATAAGTATCAGTACCTTGATATTCCATTTTCTGTATTTTTATAGTGAGCAATGGCAAATAGACTATTTGTGAGTTACTTACGACCTGTTATTCAAATCCAAAGATGTGGACTGATGACAATGGACAAAGTTGGTAATAGGGATGTAGTAGGCTACGGATACAATGGTGAACCTACTTACTTGGATAGAATGGATTTCCCCTATCCTGCGATACGCTGGAAAGAAAACACTGCTGATATCATGGTAAGAGGAAGACAATAGAGCTAAAACTCTCTCACAGGGTCTGTTCTTTGTCATTGCATTAAACTATACTAAAATTTTCTAGCTTGAGGCCAAATTTTAAATATGCAAAATGATTCTTAAGTATTTTAAAAAATTTTAAGGCTCTTGTTCACTCACCACTGTTTCAGAGTATATCAGAAGTAAAAAAATATACAAATCTATTCTCAATTTATCAATTGAAAAATATTTCTATATTCAAACATGGGCATACTCAGAATTTTGTTTAGAGGGAGGAGGTGAATTTAGAAGAATTGAATTCAGATTTTTTAATTTGGAGGAAGTGAGGGTAATCAAGTGGTACAGATTATTGGATTTTTTAAATATTTTATATTATTATTTTTAATTAATCACTAGCAGGTAACACACAAAATCACATATATTTAATTTATTTTATTTTTCTCTTAAGATTGTAAACCATTCTTCAAACTAAAAAAACTTAAATTTATAACACTAGTTGTCTTGGATTTTCAGAAAATCTTTCTCAAATCTTTTCTCGGAAAGTCTTTCTATAACTTTCATCTCCGATTCTCTTTTATTTTCCAAAATTAATTTCTTGTAAATACTTAAGCAGTTTTCATTATTTTGGTTTTATAAAATTTAGGAGAGGAAACCATCGTCACTTTGCCTCCCTCCCCTTAGCTATCCCCATGTAATTCAACTATAATTTGGAAGAATGTTTATTGTGTGTTTTCTCGTCTCTGATGTCAAAATCTGAGATAGTAGTGGTGAGTGAATATTAGCTTAAAGAATAATTCCTGATATTAATTCAAGAAAACTTCACATGACTACATATCCAAAGCGATTTAATTTCAAAGATAGGGTTGTCAAAATTGGAAGAAAAATTTATTTTTTCCAAAAATTTTGAAAACCATATTATTTTAATAACTTCAAATATATTAGGTGTTGGAATTAATTCGTAGCGTTTTTAATGAAAGAATGTTATTTATTTCACATGAGCATTAAAAAATACATTAATGAAAGTACTTCCCATCACTTGTAAAACGCTACGAATTAATTCCAACACCTAATACATAAAGTTTAAATATACATAAAGTTTCACGAAATAATTTAAAGTTTTCGAAATTTTCGCAAAAAAAAAACGAAATTTTTAAAAATATGTTTTTCACTTCAATTTTGACATCCTATATTTTTTAAACTAAGCAGTTTCAGACATATGGTCACACAATATTTTCGCCTTCAATTAATATGAAGAATCATCTTTTAAAATTTTTCAGAATACTCGAAGACTACCCTGTAAATTTATTTTATTTTAAATACAAATGTATGTACGCAAGTTCAACCACAAAGCATAGACCTATCAATCATTACTAGATAACAATTGTCAAATTATACCATGTTTTTTTTGTCAGGCACTGAGAGAGAAGGAGAAGGGAGATTGGAAGAAGCTATCAATCGAGGAGAAAAAGATATTGTATCGTGCCAGTTTTCGCCAAACATTTAGCGAGATGGATGCACCAACAGGAGAATGGAAAGGCATCGTGGGAATGTCTTTGCTGGTATCGAGCGCTGCCATATGGCTTTTTTTGTATTTCAAGGTATTCGGTATGTTTTTGTGTTCCAATGTGACTCGAATTGCGTCATCGAGAAATCGCTGCTTTAATGCAATGTTATTTCTTCTTCCAGCTTATCCGCCTTTGCCTGAAACATTTTCGCTGGAAAGACGATTGGCGCAATTGGATCGCATGAAGAAACTCGACATGAATCCAATCGACGGTCTCTGCGCTCGAAAATAAATTAATTAAATTTATCCTGCTACTAATTACTTAGTCATCATGTACAGTATCTCGTTCTCTGAGCGCTTTTGTGTGTGTGTGTGTGTGTATATATATATATATATATATATATATACACACACACACATATGTAATGTACAAGTGGCGAAATTTTAATAAACGTCATGTGGTTACATTAGAGCGCTATCAATATATTAAAAGTACGTTGCTATCAATTTATAGTCTTAATAATATATTAAATTATATGTGAGATATAAGTAGATATATAAATTAATGCATGTTAAATTATTAAGAATTAAATGCAAAAATCGCTCAAATGTAAAACTTGATTGAAGAAAAAGGTAAGTAAGATTTATTTCATTTCTGTACATTTTTCACATATCTCGGATTAAACATATGTGTACAAACTTACAAGTAGACAATTGTTAAGTACAAATCGCTGCCGGCTCGACGACTGCTAAATTCATAACGATTTAGTATTCGCATAGTTGCTATCTCACTTTCCTTTCTCCTCGCGAAAGCTTTTTTTTTTATTAAAAAAAAAAGACATTACCAAAGCACGGGTAACTGTACTGTTGCCTGCACTTTTGAAAATTCGCAGTTACACAGTTACGAACTTTCAGTAATGTATATACGCCAGTTAAATATTTTTTTTACAATCTGTAACGGCTGTGAAACGACAGTACAGTTCTGCAAAGATAAAATGGCATCACTGATCGTTATATTCGTTACACATTATTGCTTATTTAAAAATATACTCACACAAATATAAATATACATGACTATCAAAATTTTTGGAAAATACAGAGTATTATATTGCTATCGAGAGAAGTTTACAAACGGTCTATAGCTGGTCTTAAATGATGGCTATATACGAGGTAAAATCGCTTCCCTTAATTAAAAATATACAAACAAGAAATAATTTAAGATCAGATATCGACATCATTCATATTTATTAAACTTTTCATTTCTTTTTTTTTTGCATTTTTTACAGACGGTCCGGGAAATTCGATAAATATGAGTGATCACGAAGTTTCGTTATCAAACCTTCAATGATTACGAAATTCTGATATTTATAAAAAAACACGTAATTTGTTGAGGATCACTAAGATATAATAGTTTACAGTTTTTAAAAATGTAGTATGGCTTTATATAATGCTTTACAATAACATTTAAATTATATATTTATATATATTTATATATATCTTTAAGCAATTGACAATTTAATTATTAAATTCAATCACAGCTTACAATATTACATATGAAAGAGCTTTTTTTAAGTTAAATAATAATTAATATACACGGAATATTGGATGTTATATATAATTTAAAAAGATATCAAAGCTCTAAACATCCTCAATTTACGTGACTAAATTAAATATGTTACAAGGATAAATCTTTACATCGCACATTAAAAGTCGTTGAACACAAAAATGCAGTAGCACCAGAAAGAATTTTGATCTAATTGAAAAGATTTGCTTGCGGTAAACACTTCTGTCTTAATAATTATTGCGTCAACGGAATGTAATGTTTGATATGAACTATGTCTATCACGATCAAAGAACGTAATATACGGAGCTTTTTAAGTAATGTCAAGGCCTTTTCGCGTATTGTCATATACACAAGTTTCATCAAATGCAATGTAAGATTCATAAATATCAGATTCTTCGTTTTTTCCCTTTGTATAATACAAACGTATTTTTTATTTTAATTATCTGATATAAAAATAATACATCATTGTTCAGAGGATACTAAGGATTATGAGCTAACATTAAGAAACTGGCGTCTCTGTACAAAAGAAAATAGATAAAGCTAATTTGCAAAAAAATTGTTGCTACGAAATAGACTGCAAAGATTCGAAGCGTTGTCATCACTTTGTCTCGATAATAAGCTACTTTTAAAAAATATTGTTATTCAAAATTTTTTTTCTACCATCGTATTATTCGCGCGTAAACCTGAAATTTTATTAAAATCTGAAAAACATACCAAAATCTTTCAACAACGATATATTTATGTTTTGTAGAGAAAAAAAAACAAAAAAAATAGTATACTTTTAAATAGATATGGCTTCATCCACGAATTTTTATGATAAAATCACTATAATAAACACTATTTTAGATATTTATAAGTTAAAAAAATTTAGTAGGTAACTCTTAGACTTACTTCTCTATGTTTGATGAGATGTATATTACAATATGTACATTAGATAAGTGCCAATATCACCAATTTGCTGTCACTCTCTTTTTATAAGAATATAGTTTCATATAGAAAACTAAGTTTTTAGTCAATATCAGCGTGTTTCATAGTTTTATGTGTTGAGAAAAACGTATATAACTTATTATCGTCTGTATACTATTCGTACTTTGAATATATTACAATATGTTACTTATCATGGCTGTGAACACAATTACTATTCGACGATGGTAATGATAAATTTTGCAATTTTTTTTATAGATAACGATAATAAAGTGTTATTACACCGGGTACCGTTTGTAATCTGTGCAACGAAAGTGAAATATAAATAGATCTTATCTCAAATTTCCATTAGGAATTCTGTACATCTTTAATGTATAACCTTTTGCGTACAGAGCAAAATATATAGTTCTGGCAAATGGGGAGGAAAAAAGAAATGTATATATATGTATATATGTATAGCTACTGCTTGGGCATTCTTGTTCTGCGCAAGAATCGTTAAATTTCCAAACTGTTGGTTCTTTCAGAACCGTAAACGTTGTGCCCTTCTGTACATTGAATTGAAACTGAAAGCGAAAAGAACTCGCGTAGGATGATTCAGTTATTGCGATAACCGACCATTAATCGCTGTCTTTCTATCACACAGTTATGATATTGAGCTCGCTACTTAAGTGACGGAAGTAATATCTGAAATTATTGTGTACATTTCATCACCGTACACAATCTCCGGTTCCACGTTGCATTGTGCATTGTTTTTTCCTCTTTATCGAATGTGGCCTAGAGCTTGGACTGTGACTAGTATTGTTATTATTATTATTGTTGTTTCCATTACTGTGGAGTGCATGCTTGGCTTTGTTCTGACCGACTATATTGTTGTTGATGCGATGATAATTGCCTTTGAAACTTTGTTGATGATTAGCTGCAACAAAGAAACATTAACAAAAAAATAGCACACGTCAAATGCGAAAGATATCATCGAACGTTATGTATTCGTGTAATCGAAATCTGTTGCAACAACTTAATAATATGCACAAGTAGCAAACAAAATATCAAATATAAATAACAAAATATTAATTGTCGTACCATGAATGGTTGCTTTGAATGCTTTTCTTCCAGAATAATTGTGGATTTGATGACTATTATAAAAGTGCCTATCTTTGTTTTTGTCATTTTCGCTCTTCCCACCAGTGTTCGGAGAATTGCCACGACTACACTCAGAATCCTTAAAAAAACATGTAAATAAATTCAGAATTAATAACGATTCTATACAAAATTAAACAGTATATCATGAAAGGGGGGCTTCGAACTCTTTTCAATATATTATAGGATGTGAAAACAAGTAAATTAAAATATTATATATACAAAAGAAATTAATGTGTATAAAATAATAATGACGACAAAGACATTTTTCTAATACATTTATCATGTACCGTATCACTAGCGGGAGCTGAAAGAGTGGATGCATCAGAACCAGTTGAGCTTGACAGAGAGTCTCCTTCGCCTACGGGTAAGAGGAATGTTTCTTTGATCCACCTACGATAGTATATTACTTCATCGGTCACACGGATTATTCTTCCCAGTATGCTGCAATGAAAGTATCGTTTATTATAATTTACATGTTATACAGGATAAAATGGAATAGAAGAAACAAATAATAAATATCTTACCTTACTTTACTAGCGTCATTGATTAATATATTTGAGGGATTGGCCGCTTGAGAGAGAATACAATAGGCCCAATTAAATGCACTCTTTACATACAAAGCACCGTAACTACTACGGCCGATATCATTCCCAGGTGTGAGTGGGTCTTCTATGCATAATAGAGATGGTCGATGACCATCTATCATATCTCGTTGAATCTATTAATCAACATGTATAATTAATATCAAAAATACTAACTGATACAGAGCCTCTATAATGTAACACAAATATAAATTAGACCTCTTCTTTCGATATATATTGACCACCATCCTTTATGCGAATGCCAGTCTTAACATAATTGAACTTTCTCCCATACAACTCCAGAAATTCAATCAATAACACTCCCAGATTAGTATTTGGGCAATGAATATCCTTTCTCGGATGTAACTGTAATAAATCAAAATTTTGATTCGACAATAGCAATTGATTTCACGAGAAAGTTGACAATAATAAATGTGATTTTAATAGACAATTGTTAGCAACAATTGTACTCACTTGTAAAAAACTGATGGTCATGAGTATTAAACTGTATGAAGATATACCGCCAGTGAACACTTCATTAAGATCTCTTTGTAGTAGAAATTGCTTTAACACCATGACTAACTTCTCCAGAACCGGATATTGCCTCTTATAGGAATTTATCAACTCTGCAGATTTGACGCCGTTATTCATGTTGAAACTAATGTCCACCTTAATTTCACTTTCCTTATCAGTCAGTTTGACGATCGGTACACTGGCCTTATCCAACACTTTAATAGAAGATGGTTCAGCGATATTTCGATCTAATAAAGCACGTTCCAAAGTACGCAAAGGGAGATTTGTCCACATCCCTATTACTACCAAATCTATATCACTGTAATAATAGGAAAGTCTCTATACATATATTTGAAAGTACTTGGCACGCGAGTCTTTGGTAAACAAATATTCTTCTCAGATTAGATTATTCCATCTTTCACTAAAACTCACTTATTTATCCATTAGATAAATTATTACTTAGTTTATCCAAAGGTGGAACAATCAGCCCTCAGATTTATTTACAAATGCATAAAGATACCTACCTTGTAGGCAAATATAAACCAGTGCGAAAGCTACCAAATACTTCGACTTTAGAGTCTGGCCAGAGATCATAAATTACATTTTCTATCCTTTTTACAACTCTCAATCTTAATACATGTTCTTCGTGCGAGGGGCACATATATGAAAAAAAATCTTCTATTTCCTCATGTAATCTAAACAGAAACATAAATCTGTTCAATGTCCAGTATCAATATCTTTAAAATGTATAGGAATAAAATATGCAAATATAAAATAATTCCTGACAAATTACAAAAAAATTTAAGAAATAGAATTTTCATCTGAATTTGAGACATCTTTGTAAAAGATACTCGGCATGCCTTGTCCTTGAGTTTATAATGTATCTCTTGGATAGATACACGAGATATGTTTACAATTTCTTATGTCAGCTAACAATACTTGACGACAAAAATTTTTTTGCAGCTGTTTACGAGCTTTATTTGTAAATCTACTGTAGAAAGAGAGAGAGAGAGAGAGAGAGAGAGAGAGAGAGAGTACGTGTGTGTGTAAAATGTCATGTACAGAAAGGTTCTCCTCTTTCTCCGAAATGACAAATTTAAATCCCAAAAGATTGCTATTACCCCCGGTTATCTCTCTTCTTCTCTTCTTTCAACATCCTGCCAAGTCTTCAATATCACCTGAAGATATTGTAGGCACTTTGTTCAAGCAGGTAGCCAACATAACCTAACAGACAGCCATATGGACCGTGCGGCGCAATCCCTCTCACCTCTGGGTCGATGATATGGAGTCGGATATACTCACCCGATTGTCCCCATGGAGTAATGCTTATTGGTCACACGCCACGGACAGCCGCCGTACTCGCCCACAAGGGCGTCGTAATTATAGTTCATGCCGTAGGTGCTCGCCCGATTTTCGCCTTTCCTGCGGGACGGGTTGTAATAATAGTTGCAGGCGTTGTGGGGCACGCGGTGCTCGCCATTGCCATTGCCAGTGGCACTGCTGTGAACGGCGGCGGATGTAGGCCGGCCGTTACTACCGTTGCTACTGTTGCCGGCATTGGCATTGACATTGGCATTGCCATTGCCATTACCGTTGCCGTTGCCGTTGCCGTTGCCGTTGCCATTGCCGTTGTTACCAGCGCCGAAGCCGACACCGACAGCGTTGCCGGTGCCGGTGCTGTTGGATAACGGCGTGATGCCAGCCGCAGTCGTTGCCGTCGCCGTCGTCGTCGCTGCCGCCGGGCTCGTGTCCAGCGCGAGAAAGTCCTGCTGCAGCCGTACGCCCATCGCATTACTTGTATTCGCGTCGTTACGCAGGGTCAGAACGTCAAGACCCTTCTCGGCCTCCCAAATGTGTAACCAAAGGTCCTTAGCAGGGCCGTACTGCTCCGGTTGGTACCAACCGATGGTCGGATCCATTAAATTGGCGCCGTTGAACGAGGGGGACTCTCTTTAGTCTCCTCCGTGCGTTCGTATGTGTTTGTACAAGTGTGAATGTAAGTGGTGTGTTTGTGTGTGTATGTATGTGTGTGTGGTGTGTGTGTGTGTGCGCCCGCGCGCGCGCGCGCGTTTCCGACGCCGTGCGTGCGTGCGTGCGTGCGTGCGTCGTATGTGCCGTACCGTGTCGTGCGTACGAGCGGTCGTGGACAAACGGGTGGGCGGGCGAGCGGACGGACGGACGGACGAACAAACGGACGGACAGACGAACGGACGGATAGTCGGACAGTCGTGCGAGCGGGCGAGCGAGCGGGCGGGTGGACAGACGGACGGACGCACCACGTCGCGTGTCACTCCCTGTGTCGCTCTCGCGCGCGCGCGCGCGCGCGTTGTCCGGCCTCCTCCCTCGTGCCACAGTAGTCTATCCGGGGCTCTCGGCACTTGTCGCGATATCGTGCACCGTGTATCCGCTCTTCGCAGACGGTCGGGTCGGTCGGCAAGTTAATCGGCGGGCTTGGCGGGTGATCTTTCGATCAGTCAATCGTAACCTGCCAAAGATATCAAACTAAACGAGATTTTCATACACGCACCACGACTCCACGACCGCGGAGCACGACGGAACCGAGCGTAAACCCGAGATTCGCCGACGGCGCCCGATTACCGCGCCGATTAAAGGGGTGATTCTCGTGATATATATCGCAGTCGCACCGTTCTAGCCGGACGGCGGTCGGGACGGACCGCGCTGCGATTGCTCCGATTCGCGCAAGCGTACCGTGCAAACGCGCCCATCGCAGTATTCGCACTTTGCACTTCGCAGAGTGCTTTTCACTGAGAATTCATATTCTTTCCGATTCTTTCGCGAGAATCTCCTGAAGATTGTTCGATAAATATTTCAATGTAATACATAAATTATGAATTATAAATTATTCTGAATCATATTTAAAAGTAATACGACAAATTTTTTGTAGTGACGATTTATCACTTAGATCATAAATAAATTTTTTCAAAATAAAAAATAATATTTTGTAATCTGTGCTCCAATACAAATGTATGGAAATGTATTTATGAAATAAAATGATCAAAATTTTTTTCAACTTTTTAATACAAGTACTTTATGTATTTAAGATTATTTGTGTAAAGTATATATATTGTGATACAAACATTAATTCAGTAAATAAACAAAATATTTGTTTTCAATCTTGTAATTAATTTTTATTTATTCTAAATCTTTGTAATTAATCGGTGAATCGCAATAAATAAACTTTATATGAGTTATTTCGAATACTAAAGTTTTTGTACTAAACATTAAGATTTTTATTATTATTAAAAAAATTGTAGCTTATAGCAATAAAAATGATGACTAATAAAGTAAATAAACTATAAAAAGATGTTCATATAAAAACAGAATGTTATAAATACAATTTTCATATAGTTTATTTAAAGTATAAATATTAATATGTAATATTAATAAGTATAAATATGTTTATTAAACATCTTGAACAGGATGTAAAAATATTATATATCATATTTTTTAAATATTTTAATTCTCGATGAGAATTTTGACAGCAAGCTGGTGTCGCTTCTCTTTCTCTCATATTCGCTTCTCTCTCTTTCTTTCTCCCATCTCCGGTTTCACAACGTAGCAGAGCCAATCGCGGATCGAGTTGGCATTGGCCGATCTCTTTTAAGCCGTGATCAGATTATGCATTGGAAATTGAGATTAGTAAGAATCAGATAGCTAGAATCACACATAATAAAAATTATTGAATACGCATTTAAATACACTCACGTTTTAATTGTGCTATGTTTGTACTTTTTATAACTCTTTATAACTTATTATTTTGTACATACACAATACATTTAGTGAGGTTAGTCACGTGAGGTTAGTCATATGACTTGAATACTGAAAGCTTATCAGTTGAGATTGAAATTAAAGATTGAAAAAATAGACAGAGTCCTATATTTTAATCTGCAATCTCGGCCTATTCTGTTCTCATTGGTCGAACATCAATTTTAATCTCAATCTTAATCTCAATCTCAATCTCCAATACATAGTTTGATCACGACTTTAGGATGTCTTATGTGGCGTACAACGCTCTACAATCAATCTGGAGCTCTATTCTTGAAAAGAAATGTATTGGGTCATCTAAAAAGTATCCGCGGTTTTTTGTCACTAGATGTGTGTTGATGGTCATATATCTAGTGACAAAGTACCGCGGATACTTTTTAGATGACCCAATATTTTCCTAATTTTTCGTATACTTTTTTTTGAGAATAAAGGTAAAATCACATGGTGCGGAAAAGGACTGCGGAATTGAGAATGCGTCGTTGAAACAACCGCTTAGCGCTGTTCGGAACGCAGAAAAACGCTGATTGGCTTTTATGACGCATTTTTTATTCCGCAGTCGTTTTCCGCACCATGTAATTTTATTCTAAGGGCCTTGTTCGTATTGCCTGTGCTTTCATTGTGTTTTCGGCTTTATATTCTAATACCATAGGTATTAGGTCTGTTTTTTTATTGCTGCACTCTGAACCGGTGCAATAAGTTAAAATGAAAGAAATGTATATTTGTTTTATTTCAACTTATTGCACTGTGTGTACTAGTGCAGAAAGTGTAGCAATAAAAACACATCTACATGGACGTCCTAACCTCAATAGTCGTCAATTTTAACGCTTAGTATCTCGGTTTACGGAGCAGAACAATACTCCTTTTTCTGCCAGATTCTTTCATTTCGCGTCGAATGAATCCAATTTCATTAAAATCAAAGTGGAAGGAGGTTTTCTAAACAATTACCGAACATATTATGTATATACTTACATATATGAGTAAACGAACGGAGCGAATTACGCATTCCGGTACGAACGTTATGTACATATGTAATTCTGATAGATCGAACGAGAAGAAGTGATCTCTCTTTTCGTTGATCCTTCGTCATAATGCTAAAGTTGAACAAATTTGTGACTAAGGTTGTTCGTGGCTTCGTACAATGTGCATGTGTGACATATTGCGTGTACGAGTATGTAGGCGATATTGTCGTGGTAAGGACGCGATTACGCATTTTTTTTTATTTATCATTATCAGATTTGATGCATTTTGACAACATAATTATTGCTGATGTAATTATAGTGCAGTGGTCCATCCATGGAGCCCACTTTGTACACTAATGACGTCTTACTTCTGGAACGAATATCAGTTAGATTGCAAAGGCTTGAGAAGGGGGACATTGTCATTTCCAAATGTCCCAACAATCCGGAGCAGAATATATGCAAGCGAATCATAGGCCTGCCTGGCGATAAAATAAGGAATGGCTTCATTGTAACTACGGTAAATTTTAAGTTATCGAAACAGGTTTTGATAATGTTTTTGGTCTCTAGAGAATTACATTGCATACATCTTACTCTCTCTCCTTTGGTTAATAGTTTTGCATGAATTATAGAGAAAAATACATTGATAAATGTACTGATAAATTATTTTTTTATAGATACCTTACGGACACGTTTGGCTGGAAGGTGACAATAGAAATAATTCTACAGATTCACGAATATATGGACCAGTACCTCATGGATTGTTACGTGGGCGAGCTTTATGTAAAATACTTCCTTTGAGAGATATAACTATGTTTACAACCAAATATGCAACTTAAATTATTTTTTATATTTAATAGATATTTGTATTAATTGAAGATTGCAAGAATATTTACTTAGTTATATTTGATTTAGACTAGATTTAAGAAAATAAAAAATTCTTGATGTATTATATGCAATTAGTGACATAAAAGCGTCGTTTTTTAAAAAAACAAAAACAGTATAT